AGTAAGGGGGAGAGGCAGAAGAATGATATATGATAAAACAAGAGCTTCGTCAAGAAATCAACTCGATGGACATGATATCCCCTTCTTCCCTCTTCCTCTTCCTATCGCCATTCCCTGGACCCGATTGATGTCATGACTGCATAGCACCTCCAGAAGCGACCATTGACAACTGCTGACTCAATTGCTGGTGCTCCAACGCTCCTGCGTGCGACGCGAAGAATCCGCCCGGGTTGTCCTCGAGCGTGAGAGGGGTGACGGGGCCCGGCGACCCGAGGGGTATTAATCGCGGCGACATGGGTCCCGTGCTGAGTAGATGCGGGGGTATACCGGCGGCCCTGGTGGCCTGGGAGATGATCTCCTTCTGATGCAATTGTAGCTTGTGCTGTGCCGATAGCGAGTGTACGTACGCCTGGTGGTGATGAATATAGGCCGAAGTAGAGGTTACTTGTGAAGACGCTGCCCCCGTGGCAGCAGCGCTGGTGGGCGATTGAGCCATCGAGGCCGAAGCCGAGGGGGGCATTGAGAGCCTTAGGCTCGCAGCTGGCGATCTCCGTGAGGAGGAGGGCTTCGCTACTGATGCGCTTGCGGAAACGCCGGCAGCGGTCATTGGTATTACGGATGGGGGTGCGAGCGCGGAGGTTAGTGTTAACGGTGATGGAGGTCGTTCGCCGCTAAGCATGAGAAACTGGTTGGCTATTGGGGAGTTTGGCGTTCGGTTACCGCGATGATTGTGGTTCTGGTGCGGGCCCGGTGGGGATTGAGTCTGTATTGATGGTATTTCCGCCGCGGAGCTTGGCGGTGAAGGTGTTTTTGATTTGAGAGGGCCAGAGCTATCGCGGGAACCCCGTTGGTGACAATGCGAGTGTTTGGAGGGGGAAGTGGACTGTGAAGATGTTGGGGATGAGGGCTGTTGGGGTGGATGTGTAGGGGGGGATGAGAGAGTATTTGAGGAAGGGGTGAAGGAGCTGGCGGAATGGCTGGCGATTGAGGCCAAAGAGGAAGCAGAGGAGGTCGGGCGCGAACCAGACATCGTGACCCTTTTTCCTTTGCCGTGGGTTTCTCAAAGCAACGCAACTTTTCTTTTTCCCTTTCGCGAAGGTGTGTGGGTGGGAGTGCGTGAGTGAGTGTGTGTGTGGAAACTCTCTACGAGTAATCCTTATTTATAATTTCTGAAATTTATAGCTCTGAAAGGTGGATCTCGGCCTCAGACTTGCCTCGCGCCCTTTCTGCTCTCGTGCAAGCCTTTATGAGGCGGCGGCGGCGGCGGCGAGATATGTTTGAAGGGAGGGGGGGAAAAGTGACGAAGGGACAAGAGTGGTTTCAATGATTCGCTGCTGGGTTACTGGGTCGGCTTTTGCTTGGGTTTTGGGAAAAGCTAGGGGTAGCCCTTTTTCCTTATGTATGCACCGGCATTGTGTGCAGGAGCAGCAGCAGCGAAGATTAGAGCAAAGGGCCCACCACCGTACCGGACTTGCAGGTTGGCGATTTTTTTTTGGCGGGTACCGTATCTGTACGAGCACTCGAGCAGCTGCGGTTCAGGCAGAAAGGTGCACAATGAAATAATTATATCTGAGTCGAGGCTTTTGCGTGTACCGTATGTCTATCCATGGCTGAGCTTGGAGCGCCGACGGAGGGGACGCAAACTTTGGGACGGAACTGTACCACACGTTGATCAGGTATGGCAAGTGTAATCTAAAATGTGAGACAAATACACAAATTACACTTTATACGCTCTATCACTTATACCCACCCGTGCCAGTGGATGTGGAATATAAGATGTGCGTAACCTGTTGCAGATTGCAGGTCTGTTGGCTCTTCTTCATCGAAGAGAGCAAGAGTTTAAGCCATTGGGCGGAGTGGAAAGGAGATATTATAGCTGTGCTAACATGTTGGACCCCTATGGGTAGATGGGAGGAGGGTGAGGAGTCCGGCGAGGGTCCAGCTGTTCCACTCGTATCATAGTCTACATATCACAGTCGTTACTTGCCCCCTCTTTGAACATCAGCACTGCATAGCAGAAAACGGGAAGAACAGGAAGAGCAGCGAGCGGCAGCGGGCAGTAGGGCAATCATCGAGGTGGATCAGGGTGAGGTCAAAGTACATATTGAAAACTGTCTCTGCGCGTGACTCCTTTGCTAGCGTATCGAGCCCAAGAAATAATGTCTTTTCCATGGTAGGTGTACTGGTACATCTCTTGGCCGGGATTGAATTCTGGGTAATTCGTTCGTCGGTTCATCTCCTCACCCTCCTTCTTTTTTCCCCTTCCCCTTGCTCTTCCCAGCTCTGCATCCTCCCATGCCGCCGCTTAAAAGGCTGTATCTGCTTGTTTATCTTGTCCGTTAATTCCTCGTGCATAGCGGCCCCTAGCGAACTGATATCACCATGAGATATGTGGAGAAATCTTCCCCCCCACCCAGACTTTTGCCGCTTCGGGGCTTGGCCTCATCGCTTGATTGTGGGTGCACCAATTGCACTGGTGAAATAGCCACACTTCCCTGCTGCCCGCTGTCGTGTTCGTGCGTACCGTGGTCCTCTTTTCACCCCCCCTACTGGTATTCCTACTCTATTGCGCTCTGTTCTGCTCTGCTGTGTGATACTCTATTTCCCAGAATCGTACCTGTATCATACAATTTCATTTGGTTCTGCTCTATCCGTCCACATAATATCATACCGGCATATACTCTTTTTTATCGCTCGTTGGTCATGGCATAACTGTGAAGTATTAGATTACCCTCACACTCACGGCACCACCATCCACGCGCAGTGATTACTCTTGCTTTTGAGTTCTCCCGACCGTGCCTTCCTCCGCCCCATCAATATCAATTGGCCGTCATTACGCAGGGACGACCATAGGGATCAAATTTGAGACAGGAAGGACCCCGCTAATCTGCATCCTTATGGGGGGGGGCCCTCGACGTCATTCTCGTTTCCTCCACTCAAAGGCCCCGAAGCGGTAGCCTCCCAAAACAGCTGTCTGCAACCGATGACAAAACAAAATACAATTGCTTTGTTTTTTGTTTTTTTTAGATTTAGGATTAAAAAGGAAGGCAATTCAAGCCTCGAAGGCTGAAAAGTCGCGAATGTCCCCCCTCGTTGGGAAGCTCACTGTTTTTGGTCACTGAGAGACCTTCGTTTGGTAAGCGCTAAGGGAGTCTGCCTTTTGCTCTCTGGGTTCCACAAGAAGATCCTTGCCAAAAAAATCTCTCCGGGGGGGGAGGGTGCACGAACTTGAGTCCTGCTACGCAATAGGCGAAAACGGAAGAGAATCGTACGATCATAACAAAAAGCCCTGGAAGTGTGAGCCAACTGCTGGATTACCGGTATGCTGTGGATCGTCGTTGGCCGTGAGTTTTGGTTGGGCAAAGGATCTTGCCTGGCCCCGGGGCGGCTGGAGCGTTAGTTGAATACCGGTACTGCCGATAGGAAGCCCTGGCCACAGGAAAAAAAATGAGAGAGAGAGAGAGAGAAAAGGGCCCAGAACACCAAACCCGAGAGGCCCCCGGCGAGAAAAAAATAAATAAGTAAATACTATTATCATACCAGGGAAGGATCGAAAAAGCAATCTACAATTATTATAAAAACCAAATGTCAACTAAAAAAAATAACCTTTGGTTCATGTCTTGTTGGTGCAAATCCCACCCTCGTTTTGTCGTGGGATTGGTCTTTTGTCGCGTGGCTTTCCAAGCCGCACTTGTATTTTTTTTCCCCAGGTTTCACCCTACGACTCGCTCCTCCTTTGATGCCTCACCGCGGAAGATGAACGCGACTCCAGCTCAGCGAGATGAATACAAGTGCCAATACTATACGTACTCGAGTACATCTTCGATATCATAATACACCGTCAATTCCGCGTGGTATCGGTACTGGTATGCTTTCCACGGTGCCGCACCGTACAGCACCGTGGAAAAGGCTCTTGGAATACACCATCGGGTCATCGGTGGAAATCTGCTGTACAATAGCTTTAGTCTGATAGGTTAAGGGAGCTGCGAATACCGGTTAATGTTGTCCAAAGCATCCAGTGGGCTGGTCTGATTTCTTGTCAGAAAAGCACGGATCCTTCTCGGGAGCTTCCATCTTTCTGAATCCGGAGTGTACTATAGGGCTGGCGGAGAAAGTGGATTTCAAGGGTCTTTCACTGCATGGGTGTTATTATACGGACTCGTAGGCATGTTCATTTCGCATGCGTCCCGGGCTAGCTAAGGGAAAAGTGGTCCGCGGTACTCGTACGTGATGGGGGGAAACATGACCCGGGGATGGGTCCTGGGCGTTCACGTCGGCGTAGTGAAATATGATCAGGAAGTATGATGAAGGGTGACATTTGGACTATATATATATATGAGTAGAGCATATATGTATATATGTAATATTATGAAGCAAAAATAGGGAACGAGAACGGTTGGTTATGTTCATCACGGAACCGTACGAGCTCGAACGATCGAGGGGGGGGGGGGGAATGCGGTCGGTAGAATGTGTGCTGTACCGGTAGCTGAGAGGCATAATACCGGTAGAGGGGAAAAAAGTGGGGAGATATTGACTGTTGGCTGGGCGTTTCAGAGGCTCGAATGGTCCATCTCCGTGTACTATACCGTACTCGAGTACTCGTACTGTACATCTCCAAGGGCCAAAATACTCGAGCACAGGGAGGGGGGAAATGTAGGCAACTTGCAACCCGCCTCTGTCGGGAACAGGCGACTTTTTGGCGGTGCGGTTGGGAGAGGTATCGGAACACCACGCGAATTTCTCTGAACATCAGGCTACTGTCAGCCCACTCCTAGGGCCATTCTCACCTGAGGCGTTGCACTCTGCCCCGGCCAACACTCTGCGCACCCCCCCCCGTCTTCCTCGCCTTAGCATCAGTCCACTGAAATCCTCGTCTGAACGGCGCACTTTTCACTCCCTGACCTGACCATACTTTTCATCCTGTTGTCATCTTCTCACTTCGAATTTAGTACCCTTTCTCTCCCGCTCAAAAAGACTCCCCTCTTACCGCTCCCGCGAGGATGGATCTCGATTACGATTCTTGCGCTCAGTTTCTGGCGAGGCTTGAGGCTGATCCGGAAAATCTCAACACCGACATCAATACCACCCCGAACAACGTTAAAAACTCGAATCCTAATAATAACTTGGGAGGATCTCCTGCTAGCGTGCTTGATACCTCTCCCATCGATAACAGGAATTCTGCCTCCCCTCCGGGCCTGTCATCCGGCTCCGTTACATCTCACTCGCCCGAATCGCTTCGTTTCGACTACGACATCACCTGGAATCCGAACGACGCCGCTTTCTTTTCGCCGATTGACGAGGGGATTCTGTCCAGCCAGGCTTGGGATCTTATGTCATCGCAGGGGCAACCGTCGAGCCAGCAACAGGGTCGGGTAGTTACGCCGCTCGGTGACTATATCAAGATTGAGAACGACAACTCCCCGGGCCCTTATTTCAGGAACTCTCAACAAGCAACCATTTCCCCCACCCAATCTTTGATTGACCCCGCTACACAGACCGCGCTGGAGGGGGCATATTCATTCGGGAAGGAGGGTGATTCGTTGTTCAACTTCAATAACTATGGGGGTTCTGGGTCGGTAGGGCAGACGACTCGGGGGGATAATAACCCCGAGTCGTATTCCCCGTTGGCATGGAGAAATCAACCTCAGCAACGGGAGGATTTTACAGCTATCGGATGGCAATCCCCTCCCCAGGCCCAGCAAGTTTCCCAGCAAGTTTCCCAGCAACGACAACAACGACAGCAGCAAACACCCCAATCACAAGAGCCGACGCCCATGGTGAACGGCCTCTCACCCTCATCATCACATCACACTTCGACCAGCCCAGACTCCCGTGCCCACGATTCGCACAGCGATGACAATGCAATCCCTCGCCCGAAGAAACGGAAGACCAGCACCGACGACGCACCGGATGGTGGCGCCTCGGCCTCAGCACCCACCACTGGCCGGAAACACCAACCGAAGAAAACGGCCCACAACATGATCGAGAAGCGATATCGGACTAATCTTAACGATAAGATTGCGGCCCTGCGGGATTCAGTTCCCTCATTACGGGTTATGGCCGGTACTTCGAAATTGGGCGAGGACGACGATGAAGAAGATCTCGAGGGATTGACGCCTGCACATAAGCTCAATAAAGCTACCGTCTTGGCGAAGGCCACCGAGTATATCAGGCACCTCGAGAAGCGGACGAAGCGACTGCAAGACGAGAACGATCAATTGAAGAACCGGCTGGCAGCGTTTGAGAAGTTGGCTACCATGGGCGGTTCGATGGGAGGCGCTGGTCAGTCGGGTGGTGGGTCTAGGGGCGGTGGTGGTGGCGGGCCCGGCGGTGGTTTGATGAGTAGGCTGATGGTGGGGAGTTTGGCGGGTTTGATGGTTGCAAATGGGTTGCAGGAGCAGGAAAATGGAACCCGTCAACTCACTGCTTTCCCCACCGCGATCGTGCAGATGTTCGGTATCCCCGAGTCTTCGGCTACAGCTGGGAGTCATCTGTTTTGGCTGGCTTTCAGGATGGTACTTCTCGTTTCGGCAGTTATATATGTCATCCTCCCAAGCTTTTTCGACTCCAGGACCAAGGAAAAGTCAAAGTCCAACACATTCAGCACCGCTGCCTTATCGCCTGTCCCGTCTCTGGCTTCATCCTTGGAGGTTCGTCGTACCGCATGGCTTACTGCTATCCAATCGGTTTGGGTGCCCCGTCATTCTTTCGCGCTCGAGGTCGCTGCGTTGGCCTGTAAAACTTTGAAGCTCAGTCTCCGCAAGCTCATCGGGTGGAACGGATATGCTCTGCTTACTGGCATGACCGCGGAGCATGAAGCTGCTCGGATCAAGGCATGGTCTATTGCTTTGGATGCTCAACTTGCCGGAGGTGATGCTACTATCACTCACTCGAGACTTATACTCACCCTTTTGGCCTCTTTAACTTTACCGGCAACCCCAAGTCGTTTGATGCTTAACGCCCTCCATATCAGAGTACTCTTTTGGGATCTTGGAAGCACCTTCGAGGCCTTTGCCAACTGGCTTGCTAACTATTATTGGCTTGAGGCGAGAAACGTTCAGCAAAAGAGTTCGGATGGTACCGATTCCTCGGCCGAGAGCCTTCCGGAACACCTTGCCCGCCTCCTTTGTCTCGAACCCAACGAAGTCCTTCACAGCAAGATCATTCAGAAAGCCTACAACCTTGCTTACGACAGGGGGACTGGTGAGAATTGCGAAGGCTACGACGAAGGTATGGACACCGTTGTTGAGGACGAGTCAATCCGTTCGCCACTGGATGCTGTTGCCGCCTGGTATTCTAGCTTGGTCCTCCAAGGAGTTCTTGCCGCAAATCTTAAAGCCCGAAACAGTAAACTCACCCGAAGAATGATTGCCGAAGACCTCGAGACCGCATTGGGCGTTGCTCCACCAAACAGCAAAGCCCAACTCCGAACTTTGGTCGCGAAGGCAATGCTGGAAGACAAAGACGACGGTACTGTTCTCCGCGCAGCACTCAAAGCTTTCGAGGAAGACATCCAGCCCCACGAATCAACCCCCGGCGGTGTTTCCCGAATCCCGGTATCCAGACCCCACGTCCCCACAGCCATAACAACAGACATCAAAATCGCCGTCCGCTGCGCCATGGCCCTAAACCTCCTTCGCAACAGCTCCCGTGCCGGTGCCATCCGTCTCTTCAGCGAACTCGACTGGCAGGCTCAGGAATCCGGTGACATTAAGAGCAAGCTTGGTCTCCTTGGCTTTGCGGCTATCTGGAGGACACTTAATCGATTCATTGCTAGCGACGATCGCTGGGCTGTGGATGCCGGTGAAAGTGTTGATAAGGCCGCGGGCGTGCTTAGGGTTTGGATTGGGGGGAAGAACGTGTCTAAGCGGGCCGGTGTGCACAAGGATGATTGCAAGAAGGTCATTGACTTTTGCAATTCTCTGCAGAAGAGGTTGGCTGGCTTGTCGGATGACTTGGACGATGGGTATGCTAGTGGGGGGTTGGACACTCAGAGGAAGAATGCCGGGGTTGTTGCTGCTTGAGGAATTTTTGTTTTGTTTTTCTCCGCCATCTCTCTGCTCTTTTCCTTTGAGTCGTCTCTTGGAAAATGCCTCTTTTGTGTGTGTACACTAGATTCATTGGTTGGTTACTTTTGGGGGGAATTTCACTTTATTTTTTCCTTTCAAAGGAAACGGTGCGTAACTTGTCATGTCAGGATGAGGTCGAGTTAATTGGTTGGCTCGGTTTTGTCTCATTTTATTTGTTTGCTTCATCTACCAAAGCTTTTTTTTCTTTCGATACCTTTCCTTTCGGTTGCCTGGGAATATCCTATCCTGTGTTGACGTTGTCTTTTTTACATTTCTTTCTGGAATAACGGAATTGGGGATTTTTTTTTTCTTTTTCAAATTGCAGTTAGACTACAACTTAGTTTAACTACAAGTATCGTATTCATTGATTTAGTTCATTCGTATCATACCATTTCATTTTGAGTTGACTGAGTTATTTGCGATATCCATTCTTGTTTGTAGCGTATCAATTGATTGATTAAGTTAAGGCTGGCTTTCGGTTCGGTGTTATATTTCATTTGGCGTTGGCATAGTACTCGTACATGCACAGAAGTTGGGGCTTCTGCTTCTTCTCACTCTTTTTTCTACATCTGGTTTGGGAGGAAAGACCTTAGACCTTAGACAACACTGTATGTGTATAATACTGCATACCTTATGGTACTGCGCTTGCTCTCATCGGTTGTATCAAATACCGGTATACCTCCCGTTGCCCATTTACAGTTCTGGGCTCTCCGCATCCTCCTTTCTTCGTTTCCTACCGTCAGGGCCGAGCAGAAGTTGCGCACCCTGACAGAGATTGATCGGTAGGCCAATCACGTATCATAGAAGGATACCGAATATCCGGTTGGCTAGCAGATGGCTCTGGGTCTCCGCAGCGCGGGACTACGACTCGCCCCCCCCCCCGGCGACGTAGCCCTTGCACCTGTGCCAGCGTGCCCCGACCGTTGGCTGGCCAGTTTATGTTCGAAGCACGGTACTAGTACTCGAGTACTCAGTACTGTAGTCTAATCTGACAGCGGGCGCTTCCGCACACAGGAGCTCCTCGGAATTTTCCGAAAGAGGGAAACCGGGGATTTAAAGTTTGCGTCATGATCTTCATGCCGAAGGCCGGGCAGGGTCTGATTGAAGACTTGTTACCCCATCGATCGCCGGGTCGACGAAGGGTGGGAAGGGTACGGGTACCGTAGGCGTGAAGTGGTGTGGCCCCACATTTGTAACGGTGGGCTTGGAGTTAAAAGTAAGGTTTGCGGATGGAGAAGAAGGGTCCTAATCGACTGCGATACCGGAATGTCAGGATACGGCAGCTGCTGCTGGTTGGTGGTAAGATGGATTTTTGGAGGGTGGGGGCGAGGAGGAGGAGGTGGGTTGGAATGTTTCCTTTTTTTTTTTTTTTTTTAATTGCCGAGAGGCCCTGCAATGGGCGACGGATGGGTAACCCGCGGTTTTCTCGGTTTCGAGCGAAAGGATCTTTGATGTTTCCTTCCTGTTTGGGGGCCCATGAGCCATCCTGCTAAGTGCGAAAAGCGGCCTTTGGCGCGGTGAAGTTACAGTTGGTTTGAACCGCCCGAAAGGTTTGAGACCGGGCTTCTTGGAGTCCATTAGGTAAGGAACTGCCATAGCTATTCAAATACGGCTGGCTATCTTTATGGGAGTGGTAGAAGCCGGAAGCTGATGACGAGGTAAACTGGGTGGAAGGTGTTTTCTAGATCGAGAGGAAGGCATTGAGATGCTGAAGCCTCTTTTCGGAGTTCCCGTTATCACCTGTGGATGCCACCGAAGTCGGCAAGTGGTGGATATAGATGGCTTGGGTCGGCGCTGCTCTCTGCACCTCTTCCAGGGTTTCCTTATCTGTACTGTACTGGCACGCTTCGAGTGCCATTTGAGAAGATGGGTCACCCAACATCACTCGCTGGGATTTGGGCAACACAACACTTTGACGATGTTGATTCCCCGCGGGAGCCGCGGAGTTTTCCTTATATGCCAATGCGTAAAAGGTATCACACTAGGTGGCCTATCATATCATCACTTGGGCGAGCGCAAACTGGGGAGACATTTTAACCTCGGGACTTGCCCTAAAGTGGGCCAATCTTTAACATGGATGATCGCCCCGAGATCCTCACTCCAGCAACTGGAACTTTGACGGACGCATACCGATAGGGGATCAAGCTCAAAGCTGGAGCGTTCAATGGCATAGTGGGCAATGCATTTCATCTTTGCTACCTCTAATACCTAGCTGCTTGGCCACCCACGTCAATACCCTAGCATGGAAGCGGTTCGTATACTTCCCATCCTGAGTCTCTCACCCTCTCAGCTTGGGGCGCAATGTGGAAACACGGACATGTCTGTTACTTTAGTATGACATTCCCGGGCTTTTTGTCTGTACACTATGCTTTGCTAACTTGGCTATTTCTGGCCTTGCAGGCAGTGACAACTGGATGGAGCTTTGGAAGCAACCATAGCTATGCCCTGGTAGGAGGACCGGAATCTCGGACTATGCATTAGCGTGTCTAGGGCATATTATCCGAGATCGCGTTTCCCCAGGGCGCCATGTGGTGCACTAGGCAGATTTTAGTTCCCCACAAATAAGGTACTCGAAAGGTAACGTCTAGGAGACTAGGTGGCACCCCTACCGAGCCTGCTTGCTCCTCGCTGCTGTGCTGGCGGCCCTAGGAAGTAAACAGGGGATACTGTATGGTTAGTGATAACGAGGTGCTTGTATGATGGCTCGAGGACGGGGAATCTGCGAGGAAAAATGGAGAGAGAGCTTAATGTTTGCTGCCGGCCGAGAGGTGGGGACTCCCCTCTTGTAAGCCTTCCTAGAGCTCTGTCAATATTGTGTAGGGTTACGGGGAAGTCTTGGATCTCCTTGCCGTGTTGAGTCCTGAGAGGAATTGGCATGTTGCTGGTCTAGGGAGTAGCGGGGTCGCTGGTGAATCGAGCAATCGCATTGTAGTCCCTACATATACTTTTCCGAGGATAGAGAAATAGTTGATTGATTATTTACTCACGCCACACGGAATCTCTGATAGATGATTGCGAAACGCTATGCTAAATCCTCGAGAAGGGTTCCTATGCCCTCCCCAAAGGGGCCTCAATTATGGAGAGATTTTGCCAACACCTTCCAAGGAAGGGATGTTCCTCGTCCTCGCCAGGTTTCTGGTATCCCCTCCATCTGTTCCAGGCCCTAGCTGCTCTCGAGCCATGCTACTAGTTACCGTAGATGGTGTCTGAAGGTGAGGCGGCGGGCGCTCGTAATTGCACGATTGCTGTCACTGGCCAACAGAATTGACCCCCGTTTTTTTGATGGTATCATATGCGACAGGGAGGTTTTCTTAAAGTCGGTCTTCACTATCCATGTGGATAGTTAACGGTTTGGATGGTTCTAAAGTGATTTTGCTCGCATCAAAGTCTGCTTGTATGATATATAGCCAAGTTAGTCCGACGGATACTGTCAAGAACACAGTACTGGATTCTCAAGAATAGAAGAAGGGAAGCATTCCATGGGTAATTGAGAACGGGCCATCCCCCATTTCGTGCAAAATAAATAAATAAATAAATAGGGGGACAATCATTTCTAGAATGAATATAAGAGACCTTGCAGGGGCTCTGATTCCCCTACAGCCTTACTGGGGAAGGCTAAGCTCTTGAGTCTCCCAGTTCCCACAGGGCAGGGTTTTCTTTAGTTTCTCCTGCCCTACGCGTTGGCCTACTCAACAATAACTCCTAATGGGGGTAATTGAACTCCTGGGCTCCTGCTAATTGCACAGGAGTTAGTCGGTTCTCGACGTATTAACCACTTCTCCAGCTAGGCACTTCAAGTAGTATTAAGCAGGGAAAAATAATAATAATACTTATCCTACTGTACATACTAGTGGGTGGCATTGGACCCTCCCCTGAGGTTGAAGGAACGATCATTATAATATCGGTAAATATTAAATACACTACCGGGGAAGATACATCCCGACCAGAAGGCCGGTATGAAATCTGACGAAATGAAGGAATCTCCCCTTCGTGTGCGAGGTAATAATCGTAGGGGGGATATTGGCGATGAAAGGAGGAACGTTCTTCTGTGGGCAGAAATCAGTTTTTTTCAGGCGGTCGCTCATTTCAGATATAAGGCTGAAGGCCATAAGGCATCTGCGCATTGGTAAGCGTACAAAAGAAGAATACCATAACATGATATTCACGAATTGTGATGATTTAATTTAATATTATTCAGCACGTTGCGTCCAATTAGCCAGTTGACGTGTCATCATCGGGGCAGCAAGACAATCCAGTTTCACAAGTCATCACTCGGTGAGGAAGTTAAGATTTACTTCTGGCGAAGGCTTCACGAGGAGAAAAACATTTTCTCAGGCCTCCCGCTTCACCCACTCCTCACGAGATATGCCCGAATATGCCCTTGCGCCCAGTTGTCTTCCTCTGATTTGCCCAAACAGTCTGACCCAGCTGGGCACTGCTGGGACTCTAGATTCGCCGGTCAGGCACCGCTGTTAACCATCACTTTGCCGTGGGAAGCCCCTCTATATTCACCCCGATTTCCTACATGGCCTGAGGGTTGAGGTTGTTTTTCTTCTTTTGTATTTCTCTGGTTTAGGGTGCTAAGCTACTCCAAATCCCCCGAGAGGCGATGCTGGAGAATAATTTGCGGGGTTCCTGGTGTGAAGACCGAGCAGTGCATAGCTAATGATATATTTCCCTAGATCCTTCAGGCCCGAGCACCATATTTCCCGAGCACCTCGTACCGTACTATCAACACTAATCTGTAGTGTGCAGTCCCCGGGGGAGCCAAAAATATGCCTGGGTCATCCGATAGGGCCGCTGCGCTATGCGCGCAGTCCAAAATTATACTCTCTTTCTCGCCTCCTGGGAACTGATCCTCACCGTCCCCCCAAAACGCGGTAACCCTGGAAAAGGTGGGTGGAACGTAAGCAAGGAAGGAGGAAGGTTTATATGCCAATTTCATTAGTGAGAAAAAGCACTATAGTGGACCAATTCCCAGGGGAGAAAGGGCCTACGTTCGAGGCCTCTAGTGTGGCCTTGCCTACTGCTAGTCTATTCGCTGTCTGCGAATGAACAGAAAGTATCATGTGTCTGTATCATCCGGTAATTTCATTACCCTGTGCCCAAGCAGCTCTACCGTTGCGCTTTCTTTTTTATGATACTCCCGGGAACGGACCCGCGTGACCCACCAAGAGCCCAGCAATGATGGGAAAGCAGGCGAAACAGAAGCAAGGAGGAAAGGGTGATTTACATGTAAAATAATAAATGAGCTAAACCAATGGTGAGAAAATGCCTACGGGAGCAAACGCCAATCCTTGAGGTCTCGAATAGGGCCCTGCTAGTTGATGTGTACTACGGGTGTAACTTAGGGGAAAGAGCTTGCGTAGACTTCGCCCTCCCCCATCTTATAGCTATTCTGTCATATTCAGCGGGAAGGCGGTTGATAGGAGCTTTCCTTGCTTGTATATCGTTGTAAGACCGCACATAGTATCTCACAGCACTTTTTTGTGGTGATTGGCTTGTTACTACGGTCTTGATGCCTCTAGGATGTTCTGTTTTTGATCGGATGTTACATTTCTTAGGGTTCCTAATTCCCCTCTATTATCATAGCTTGAATAGAACGCCTCAATTTTCTCACTCATGACCCACCCAACGGAGCGAGGTAAGTTAGAGGATTAGCCTCAATACCGTGGGAAGGGGCAATTCGTTGTGGACCGTGTGATAAGCCATGTCTGCTTAGTCATCTAGACAAGCCTAGGGCCTATTTACTCACGACCGTTTTCCGTTCCGTTTTCCGTTCCGTTTTCGCATACAAATGCTGTTACCCTTCCGTTGCATAAGTTAACGGTCATTTTATTTTATTTTATGGTAAAACAGAACGCAGCGGTCGTATCCAAACAGACCCTTAACAACCTCTTCCATGTCCCACAAATCACCGGCAGCACAAACTTATTGAACCATAACAAAAAGGCCTAACTAATCAATCAATCACGCACACCTCCTCCAATGGTATCTCTTCCGATACCTCAGTTCCTGAAATCCCTCTTCGATTCCTTCCCGCTCCGGACTTACCCCGCGAATCCACTCCCCTCCCGGTGCCCGAAATTTGGCACCACACCGTCATTGTACGCCTTCGCCACGCCCGAGGACGCAGTCGCCGGCAACCCGAGCTTCAACCCGAGCTGCTTGAAATGGCAGGTATGTCTAAGAAATTCGTCATATTGTCATTGAGTCTTGCTTTTATTTTTGCCTTACCGGAATTTTCTTCTTTGATTTTTTAAAAAAGACAAGAATACTATGACGAAGGGAAGAAAGGGGAATCCGACGGCTGAGCTTTTGTGGGAGTTTTGTTTAGGCGTATCTGAAGTTCTATGGAGTCGAGTTTAAAACGGTCCCGTCGAATAACCACGCTTCGCCGACGGGTGCACTCCCTTTCATAATCTCACAGCAGAAGTCCATGTCCGAATCCATGGAGGTGGAAGTCGTCCCATCGGATAAGCTCGCCTCATGGATCGAGGAGCATGGGTGTTCGTTGGATGTGATTGATACGGATAGTGCTCAGGTGAAGGCTTTTCTGGTGTTGGTTAATAATCAGTTGAGGGACGCTTGGGTAGCTTTTCTAACCCCCTCCCAACAGCTCTCTTTCACACTCTCTTGGCCTCTTGGTGCCATTGTTAATTTACTAAGTTGACCACGTATGTGTGTTTGTGCGGTGTTAGTTATACGCCCTCTACCTCGAACCGAATAACTCGCAAGATCTGGCCGGTAAATTATACTGTGGGAGTTCCGTTTCTGCCGTTTCTTCATTTCTCCTGCGGCAGGCCAAGGCTGCTGCACGACAACAGGTACTGCAAGCCTATCCTGGAGGAGTCCTTGACCCGCGCAGGATATATGCCGATGCTGGTGCTGCCCTTGAAGCTATCTCTACGATGCTAGGCAAAGATACGTGGTTTTTTGGCGGCGGAGATCCGGGGTTGTTTGACGCTTCGGTGTTTGCCTACACGCATCTGATTTTGAACCTCAGATGGCACACTGGGGAGAACACACTTTTCAGGGCTGTTATGGAGCATGATAATTTGCTGGGCCATGAAAGGAGAATTCGGGACGCGTTCTTTCCGGAGGCTAACACTCCAGACGCAAACAAACCGTTAGGCTCGGAAAGCTAGAAAAAAAAAAGGTCGAGAAACACAAGCAATTGTGTACCGTAGGAGCTGGAATAGTTGGATCCTACGCTAAGGCGTCTAGTATTCCCCTCTTTGGGTAAGAGGGGGGATCGCCCCTGGGAATACTAGGATTTAGTCCTCCGTTATGGCAGATAAAAAGAAAAATACAGTAGACTTTACCAGGAGCGGCACCCCAACGTCCCAGCGTGATTCTTGGTTATTCCAGTTCTTGCGGTACACAAAGGCATTGGGTCCATCTTTCCACTGTATTAATAGTATATCATGAGCTAGATTACGTTTACCGTGTTCTATCATGGTTTGTTTAAATAACAGGTGTCGTATCCTAGTCTAAGTCCAAGCAAAATGCCATGGCAGCATGCATCTTGATTCCAATCCACTTTTCTGCTCTCTTCCCCAGCTGCTGCGCATGCTCAGCATTGTCAACACCCCTCTCCTCCACCTCTCCCAACAACCGCAAACCAACTTCCCTAGCAGCCTTCAAAATACCTTCAATCGAATGATTAAAAGACACACCCTGGATCTTGACCTCCTGGTCACCTTCCTTTGCTACGAACCCGGCTCTAGAAGATAGCCCTTGCTCGGGATGCATGTTCGTCAAGTACATCCACCCCCCCTTCTTCAAGGCCTCCTTCACGGCTCCAAAGAACACATCTAATCGGAGGTGTTCCATAACCAGCGTGCAGACAACAGCATCAACCCCCCTCGCCTCTTGGGGAATCTGGGAATCCGCCTCAATGTCATGGAGCACCCAGGTGATCTTTACATCCCGTCGGGGCTCGGTATCGATTCGCGCCTTTGCCTTAGACATCATCCCCTCGCTCATATCCATCGCGACAATCTCTGTCGCTTCGGGGAGCAAGCGGTAGAGTTTGGCGGTGTGGCGGCCCGTGCCGCACCCTAGGTCTAGAATTCTGGAGGGAGGGCGGGTGCTTAGGAGGCCTGGGACCGTTGCATTGAAAGCCTCGTCGTCTTGAAGTTGAAGAATGTTCCCATCATGATCGTAGACCTGTTTTGCATGTTGGCTCCATCCACTATACTCTCTATGGGCAAAGGACTTACGTCTGCCCACTGGTTGTAGGCATCTGCTGTGGGGAGTCGTTTAATAGGGCGAACTGGTTTGGACATGTTGATGATTCCGACAAATTTCGATAATTGTTGGTGAATTGTGGTGACTATTGATGAGGTCCGCTCAACGCGGACTTTTGAGCGAATGATCTACCTCGGACGTGAGTCACAGAACCCAGCGATATATGTAGAGGAAATTTTTGGGTGCCACAGTATCGTATGCCGAGACTAAGCGAGTCTTAGTACTGGGGGATATTTTATGCCATAGCATTAAAGCCTATGTGTTGTATCTCGTGTAAGAGGTGGGCTCGTGTCATGGTATTCCGCGGCACGGTTCATTCGATATACCTTATGACATGGGGGGGTTTCCTGAAGCTGGTCGTGTTGCTACTATCAACCGTCCTGAGGTGTGGTTCATTGCAGTCAGAATTGTGGGATCCGATTTTTATTTCACGGAGCGAAGCGCAACATATGCGGTGAGGTTTTTTTGTCGAAATTTTCGATACACAGAGTGAGAAGCCGTGACCTCATATACCGTTTGTGAAGGGTGGGCCAATGATGGCCAGGGGCACCTTTCCATGGGAGGGGGCTATTCAGCGGTACCGTCAATGGCTCCTGCAAGCCACAGTACAAAACATCCAAACTTAGCCACGACGCTTTCAGCTCGAATGTTCGGTGTGAAACTCCTGAATATCATACCTCAGTCGGTACAGTACGATAATCCGGCAGTTGAGGTAGTGGCAGATGGACGGCTGGGGGCCGTGTTTACTGTGCAGAAACCCCCCCTTCTTCTTTGTTACACCCCCCCGGTGGTATCTCCCATGCCGTGTTTTACCTCGGGCCTTACACAAGATCCTGTACAGATGGCCCACAATAAAACTTAGATCGAGGTTGTACTCGTAGAATCCCTCCTGATACAGCATTCCGCAAAATACTCCGAGTGAAGCAGCTCATCAATCTAACTGGGCCATTTGGCCCGTGAGATCACCGCTATCTTTACCATTTCCAGGACATAAACCTCCTTGAACCATGGTCTACTATCTACTTGTATCTGGCAATCAGTATGTGAAGAGACGGCCCGTATTGCATAACCACCCTACCAGCAAAAAAACGGACTCATTTTCAGATACTTTCATGCCGGATACGAGTGCTTCATGTCTCCAGGAAGACGGGGCCGCTACCGATATCCGATGGTTCACCAGTTAGGGTTAATGTAGCACAACTAGCCGACCTCGATAAGACGGAAAAGGTGAGACCTGCATTGTACTCGTAGTTCCAGCCTTCTTTATGATCAGCAACACTCGCATACGAGTACTAGAAGGTAAAACAGGAATAAGTGCTCAATACGTCCTTATAGTCTCTGATGAAGTTCGTGAAGTTGGATGAGCTAGCTGTGCAACTCAAATCCTAGCTGAAGGCGATAGTCCCGGGATCGCTCCGAGATATTGGTGAGTGACGTCTTTTTTTAAAGAATCTCTGGATCACACGTACAGGTTTCAGGCCTCTAATGGCTCCCATATGGGGAAGCTTGCCCCTTGATACACAGTTTTGGAGGGGATTCTACTTATAGAAATGCCTTGGATTGGGATTTTGTTTGCTGGAGGCGAGGGGAGTGAGAATACCTTGGCGGCATCAGGAGCTCTGGCCCGTACAGGTTGAAATAAGGAGTGCCGTTTTATCCTCGAGAATTGAAAGCTTGATTTTCTGATCTAGTTGTAACTTATGATGCTAACACAAGCAGCAGTGGCAAGCTGTAAAACCCATACAGTATATAAAGTACGGACTTGGGTATGGAAAATACCCGCAACGTTGGAGTTGAGGTGATGATCTTCAGGGTCTCACTCGGGGGGAAGACTGGGAAGTTCTAGAGGCTTGGCTGACGTATATTAACATGATGTCATCAATCGCACAGTGGGTGCTTCTTTCTCCTAACTTACGGTATCACGAACGAAAATTTTTCTAGTGGAAGGATTAACATACATCGTCAAGCCCATCCGCCAGGTGACCCCTAGCCTTGGAAAGCTCCAAGACCCTTTTTCTATAAAGCCCTAGAAGAATACCAACTTGGGGTCTCCTCAACGATCAATATGCATTCTATCGATACCTGACTAGTTCAAACCAACGCTACTTTTCTCACACTCAACACTCTCTTCAAGAAAACAAATCAAAAAAACTCCTCAAAATGTCTGGAACTGGAGATAGTCAACCTTCTACTCTTAAGTCCTACGCTAATAGCGGCATCGCGGCTGTTCAGGGCGCCGTTGGCAGTTTGACTGGTAAGTAACATGGTGACTTCTCACTATCGGCGACCATCTCTAACCTGAATCCCAGGCAACCCCGTTGATCAACGCCAGGCTGAAGACAAGAGCGCCCATGCAGAATCAGAACGTGATGCCTCTCATGTAGCCGCCAAGGCTGGACCTTTCAATCTTTCCTCCTCTGGAGCAGCCACTATCGACAACAAGGACCGCCGTGATGGAAAGTCTAATCAGATCATTGGAAGCGGGAAGGAGTTTGTCGGCAATACTATTGGATCTGATAGCCTTAAACGTGAAGGCAGGGATCAAAATACCGAGGGTCAAGGCCAGGAGGCTGCCGGACAGCTTAAAGATTTCGCAGAGGGAGCTGGTAAGCTATACAATTATACGATATCATACATATCGAGCATGCCCTAATTATCCATGAAGCCGACAGAGTTACCGGCACCATTGGGGCCGCTGCTTCCAGTCTGACCGGAAATACCCAGGCCCAATGCTAGTTTCCTGTATTCTCCACACCTTTTTGTCCTAGATTTTGCTAACCCTGTTGCAGCTGACTTTGAGAACCAACATGATAAGGGGAAGACGTCCCAGCGCAGCGTCGAGGCTGAGGCACAGAAATAATCTCAAGACATCAATTGCTAATGATGATCTAGAAGAGAATTTATATGCAGCAGCGGTTATGTTTTTCTTCTTTGAGGATCAGGGACGGACTCCTTTTTTTTCACTTCATACCTTAGCTCTAGCGTTCGTTGTAAACTTAGTCAACCCGCCTTTAACAATCTATCTCTCGTCGTTCATTAGCTGCTCCTAATTCACGCAATGGGTGAACAAAGCGAGGTTATAGTCATGGTCACCCATGATCTCATGCTCGGATATGGCCATAAAAATTGGAGGGATTGATACCCTTGTCATCCAAGGTTAACTGAGCAGATGGCTACAAAACATGGAAAACCGAATGGGATCGCCAAGAACCCGTAGCTGGTGAGGGGAGAAGAGAAGAAAGTGGAGGGGTTCAGAATCCAGTGAAACAAATGCCAGGATCATGTGATACTGGAACAAACTGCACCCTCCATTTTCTTACCCATAGTTGCTTTTTACTCCTTGATGCAAATTGGTCACCCATTTGGCATCATCATCATGATATATCACCCAGTGCAACGTCCCTCTCCAAGACGTCAAGTAACACTCCTACCTTGCGAAACAGCCTTATCTCCCGATCCACTTGATCTCTGCTTCGCCACCTTTAGTTTCCGATTTTGGACATTCCCAAGCCCAGCAACGAGAGTCACTCGCGTGCCATTATTACCATACCTGTATGTGATCGACCCACCGTACCAAGATCTTCAATCAAGGAGGGGAGGGAATAAAGACCAAAAATAATAACAATCCAAGGCGTAAAGCTCTGTCGGGCGGCAATACAGGTGGCAACTGCTGCAATGAGGTCCGGCAAGGCTGTGGAGAAGAGCCTCAATCAGACGAAAGGAAAACCTCCCCCCCACTAACTATTCCTTACCCCGCCCTGCGGCTATCCCCCTAACCACCACCAACACCAACGTCAATCGATGGTTTGCTTAGGAAAATGCCTCGCGATCCTCTTATTGGCCTTGTCGGGAAGCCATCTAGTGGCAAATCCACAATGTTAAACTCGCTGACTGACGCGAGTTCAAAAGTTGGTGAGTAGGCCGAGTCCTAAGCAGTTCCCGGAAAACTCAAATTTAGTTGATTCGTGTTAACTTGGTATCCAGGGAATTTCCCGTGAGTTACTCCGAAACCTCCACCCAGTTATGCCTGCTGCCGTACTCACCCTCCCAGATTCACAACCATAGATCCCCAGAGAGCAATAGGATACCTTCAAGTCGTAAGTCCTTGTGCCTCACCTCTCAATCCAAAGCCCTAAATATAGGAGGAGTATCAGGACCTAAGAGATAGAAAAATCACCGTGTCGTATCGTTTGAATCCAGGACTGCGCATGCATTCGATTTGGCAAATCTGACCAATGCAAACCGAACTACGGCTCTTGCAATAATGGCAAACGATCCGTTCCCATTGAGCTCCTCGACGTCGCGGGCCTCGTACCCGGCGCTCACGCGGGGAGGGGGCTGGGAAATAAGTTTCTGGACGACCTTAGACATGCTGATGCGCTGGTTCACGTTGTCGATGTTAGTGGGACTACGGATGCTGAGGGGAAGAATACCAGGGGGTATGATCCTTCCCAGGATATCATCTGGCTGAGGGGGGAGATTGTGCAGTGGATTCAAGGAAATTTGATGGAGAAATGGTGGGTATCCCTTGTAGCAGTTTGAGGTTCTTGGCCCATTTTTGATATGGTGCGTGGCGATAGGGGATCAATAAAGAGGCGGCATGTGGCCTTGAGTATGTTTTTCCCTCATCCGCTTCCATCCTTGAGAGGGCCTTGCTTAACTTTGATTCGCAATAAATAGAGGCTTCACCAGTTGATACTCTTCAGGGCCAGTTCTCTGGATATGGCTCCAACCAGGCGATGGTCGCCCGAACCCTAGACAAACTTCAACTAAAGACACCTCTGGAGAGCTGGGATCAGGAGACAATTGAAAAGGTGGTCAATGCATTTACGGATGAGAAGTTCCCGACGGTTTGCGCTCTGAACAAGATCGACCACCCCGATGCAGATAAAAACATCGCCAAGATTGCTAAACAGAGAGACCCAAATACCATCGTGCTCACTAGCGCCATCTCGGAGGTCTTTCTGAGAAAGCTAGCTAAGCAGGGCTACGTTAAATATGCTGAAGGCAGCGACTTTGTGGATACTAGGGAAGACCTGATCGCAGATGGTGATCCAGATGGTGGAGGGTTGAAAGAATTGGACGATAAGCTCAAGACGTTTGCTATCCTTATCCCTGTAGCTTTAGTGGTGCTGATAATTTGGCGCTCGCAGACGTGTGGAGAACTTGAAAGATATGGTTCTTTATAGATTCGGAAGCACTGGAGTTGTACAAGTCCTTTCCAGAGCTGCTCAATCACTAGGACTAGTCCCTGTATTTCCCGTGAGAAATGTGAACACGTTCTCATCCGGGGCCAATTCGACGGGTGTCTTCCGGGATTGTGTTTTGATTAGCAAGTGTGGGCCCCTTCTTTGGTACAGTAGGACTGCGGTATCTAACACCCAGAACAGGAACTCAACCGTGAAAGACGTTGCAAAGAAGGTCATGGGGGATGTTGCAATTTCTTACATAGAAGGTGCTGGAGGCACAAGAGTTGCTGAGACTGATATTGTGGAAGTTGGGAAAAACGATGTCTGTCTTAATTTTATTATCACCTCGCCCTGGGGTATTCCTTCTAACATTTTAGATGACAGGTCCTAACGTTCAAAGTTGGAAGGGCTTAACACTGGCACGATTTTAGCCTAGTGAGCAAGGGACAGTTCACGGTCTCGTATGGAGGAGTTATTGTAATACTAGAGAGAGCCTAACACATGGGTCTCTAGTTTGAGTTTCGAGCTAGGCAGACACAGATAGCCCCACTGATTTGGGGTATTGAGAATAAATGTTTCATGACCGCTAAAGGACAAACGCAAGAGTAAACGCAAGAGTGTTTGAGCCACGATGTTTGATAGCAATCGTGGCACTTAATGAAAATGATAAAACCCCATCCCGGATACAGCACAACAAAGGTTACATTGAAAATAGGAACAAAAAATTGACAAAAAAACAAAAACAAACAGCAACCTGTACAATGCTTCTCACTTTTCTCTATACGCTCCCTAGCCGATTGACATCTGCAAAAAAAAAAATTAAAGCAAAAAAAAAAGACACCAGCGGCCAGCCTACACTCCCACAAATGTACCAAAGCTATTCCACACTGGGGGGGCGTAGTAAGGGAATGGCATACTACCGCCCCACTCATCTTGCCTCCCAGTGATGGGACCGGGTGCATTCTTGAACTCCTGCTCGGGCTCCTTCCGACCGTGTGCTTCCGTGAACATGGAGCTCTCCGCCTTCTCCGTCATGCCGCTTTGTGATTGCTCGGATTGGACATCGGACCCGTGCTTCTTCTCTGTCGCGTACGGCGCGGGGTGTCCGTTGTAAGAACGTGTCTGCTGGGTAGCTGCCCTGGCTAAGAGGGTAGTTGAAGAGCGGATGAGGGTGTTCGAGATTTGTTTTTGAAGCATTTCTTTCTTTCGCTCTTTTGGATAAGGTTCGGATTTGGTGGTTCGGATCTGGGTTTGGTTTTCGTTCTTGCTTGATTCTTGTGGTGGCGAGGATGATGGGAGGTAAGGTTGAGGACAAGGTTAGCACCAAGTGAAAATTTTTTGTATTTATACCACATCCCCGTGACTCAGTCGGATTATGTTAGCCATTTACTATGAGGCGTCATATTACTACGGATATTATTATTTTTTTCTTCCTTTCTATTATCCCGGTATCATATGTCGTCTAAAGGATGCGTCGAATGACCCCTTTGGTATGGAATGTCCAGACGAGAGATACTGTATTATATGGTGTCCGCGTGACGTTCGGCCGCTGCCGACTTGGAGATGTTTGATTCCGCCTTCTCTCCTACCGTATCCGCTGCGGCTGTGGGTTGCAGGATGGCATTCTGCGGACTACCGCACATCACATCAACTGCAGGACCAACCCGTCCATCCTCTACCGTACCGTTCCTGCACTCGTCCAGTACGAAATTTTCCCCCTCCCCCCACTCAGTCCAAGTGACCTTCAGAACCAGGCTTCCACAGCAGGTATGATATTAGCCGCAAAGGCTAAACAAACAAATGAAGTCCAGACTTCCTTTTTCCATATCATTATTTCTGGATTCTGGGCCAGTCGGAAGGGTCGGGTTTCGTTATTCATGCTGCTCTCAATGTTGAAGCGTTTTTTTTTTTTTCTTTTAAAAAAAAGGTTCGCGTTTGCATACCGCCAGACTTTGGCCCTTTGCTAGGATCCTGGTGGTGTGCGATAGTGGTTCTTTTTTAAGGTACTTTGAGGCTACAAGTACAAGTGCTTGTACTCGTACAGTACTTGTCTTTGGCCATATCTACCTGAAGATGCACCCGCTGTTACACAATCACCCAACCCGCGGAAGAAAAAAAAAATGCCTTGTTCCATTCCCAGATACTCTAATCGTATGCCAGATACGATTTATGCTCTTCGGTTTTATGCCCCCTCGCGGCCGCCGGGTGATCGGTTAGGCTACCGGTGATAAGATAAACCCACAGGTATCATACGGCACCGGTAAAGGTATGGTGGGGTTTTATTCTTCAGAGAGCATTGGGAATTGCGGAAACTTGTCGCGGGGAGACAAGGTTACGGTAGGCACTGAAGCGAGCGAGGTTCCGACGGGGAGTCGAGTTATGGCCGGCTAGTTGGCTATCTCCGCTATGGCGTGCAGTGGGTGGTGGTACGAGTAAAAGACTCTGGAAATGGCATTTGTATGGACAGCAGTTATGATAAGCAGTTGCAATACCGGCAGGTGCCAGTAGATGGGCCCGTGGTGGAGGTGGAGGTGGAGGTGGTGGTGGTGGCGGGGATGTCTGGGTCAATTCGTTCATAATTTTCATTATCAAACACCGGTTTTCGGCATACATCCCGGTTTGATGGGTAAAAGCCGTGTTCATCCCCGCTGTTTCCGCATTTTCACTTTTTTTGATATTCGAGTAGGTGTGCTGTGAGAGTGTTGTGTTGTTCAATATGCGGGCTCCTCTCCAATAAAGTCCAGCCCTTCCTATGGTACTCGAGCACCGGAGAATGGTAGACCTGCTGCACTTGGAACTTGCAGCTCGGGTAGGATACGCTGCACTGCTCGAGTACAATCACACCCCGCTGTCCCGGATCTCGACAATCCGGATACTTCGCTGTCCCGTATGAATCACTGTGAGCTCTGAATTTTTTTTCACTAGAACCTCACCCGCCGTCCCGGATCCCTCGCTGTACCGGACAAGTTCTTCGGATTTTGGCCGTCCGGGATAGCGAGGTGCGACTGTACTCGTACTCGAACATCCACTGGGGCCTGAATCCCTCATGGAAATCTGGGGAAAAGCTGCGTTCCATCGTGGGGTATATCATCTCGTAATTCTGTGACGTTCGTGAGACGGGCTGCTATTGCATACCGCCAAAGGTTGGACCGAGCCTCAGAATCCCCACGGTACGCAGTAGCAGCCCTTTTCACGAACGCCGCGACATTGCGAGTGTCATACCCAGCCCGTTCATTACCCCATGATCGATGGTACTTTATAAATTGTATCATTAAATTTTCTTCTTCCTCCCTAGACGTGCGGTTAAAGTGTAGTCAATAACCTGCGACTTCAACCGGCTGCCTCACTTCCCTCCCTCTCTCTGGGGATGACCCCTAGATATACAAATAAACCACAATAGGCGGCATGATATCATATCACCTCAATGATTTCATGATTCTCCTATGACGCCTCCAAGATAGGTCTCTAGCTCTTGGTGAACGTGTTGAAAAAGGCTCCCAAAGCTGGGTTCGGTCGGGACTGCACAATTACCTGGGAGAATGTTAATGAATGGTTAATTCGGGTTAATCTGGAAAATAATCCCTGTCTTTCACAAAAAAAAAAAACAATTCTTCACGTCTGTAACTAATTGTACTGGTACTTGTACTATGATAGTACTCGTAACTAACCAGCCGTTACCGGCTGTGTTGAAGGAGTATCTGCCGGTGAGTGCCAAAGCTGGTCACTCTTCATGCAAATTGAGGCTCAAACGATTAGCTGGGAACATTATGATATACTTTGGGTCGTGTTCCGGAATTTAAGCGTTCCCAACCTCCGGAGCAGGGAAGGGAGGGTACCGGCATTCATTCCCTCGGACTATCGATACAATTTTAGACTTTTCTCTCCCTTTCTTTTCTTTTTCCTTTCCCTCTTCTCCTCCAGCTTGTGTTCCATCTCCTGGCCTCAGACTCAATTACAGCGTACCGGCATTTTACAGTACTGTATCTCTTGTTTGGCTAATCTGGCGGCACGGCTCGCTATCCACACCCGATAACAAGATTGGCAAAGGGGGGAAAAATCAGCTAGGAAAATGCAATGCGAGACTCTTCCGACTTCCTCCCTGGCACCCTTCATTCGACTCAACAATATCTCTCTAAACGGTATCGAGACCGCCCGCATTGGGGGCCAGCCAATTGATGCTGGGATTGGGATTAAGCATACTCCCACCACCTATGATCCTTCCCGCCCATTCCTGAAGATCGGCGCAGACCTTGTTGTCTGTGCTAAGACTGTGGAGGAGTATGCCAAAGCTGATGTCCATCTAGCTGAAGCGTTGGCCGCTGCCGGGGAGTTTACCTTGGCCCCTAGGGGCGCCATAATGGTATTTTTGGTTGTGAGTATGAGTACCGCTGCTGGATTGGGAATTGGTCAGAGTGGGCCTTGGAGCGAGTAAGTCAACTTTTACTCACCCATTCACGGAGGATGGCATTGACAAATGAGAGACTAGATATATCAAGTTTCTTCCGGCCGTGTCGATACCCACGACTTGGACTGAGACCGAGCGGAAGCTCCTGCATGGGACGTCATTAGAAGTGGTATGGATCCGCGCTAATCATTAAACTCCAAAAAGGGTTTTCTCTTATATTGAACCGGGATTATTGACTAATATTTGGAGTTGATTACTTCCATTAAAATCCGAAGGCGGTGACAGCAAAGCTTCGAGCCCTTGAACAAGAATTCGAAGACTTTCGAGAGGCCACGAAGGAGATCAAATGGTGCCGAAAGGCCTGGTGGGATGAGTCGAAGCTGACCCTAAGAGAATGGCAAACAGTAGACTCGTGGTTCAGATCTAGAGTTTTGCAATTCCCAGGATTAGGAATTGGGATGGTGCCTGTTTTGGACTTTGCAAACCACAGTTATGAGGCAAGCTCTTACTATAGTGTCGATGAGGATTCTGATGTGGTCCTACTTCCGCGGGAGGCCAAGTCCGGTACTTTGACTGACGGGGAAGAAATCACAATCAAGTACGTCGGATGATGGTTGCTATTGACTTTGATTTCTCAGGGCGGATTGCTGACCACGGGCATCCTGTTTTTGTTTCTTTACTTTCAGTTACGGTCGAGAGAAGAGTGCCGCAGAAATGGTGTTTTCCTACGGGTTTTTGGAATCAACCAGGGACACGGCCTTATGGCTTGTATTAGACCTCCAGGGTCTCCCGGATGATCCGTTGGGGTTTGCTAAACAAGCAATTGTCAAATCAGCCCCAACGTTGGGGATATATGACATGGGGCATACCGTAGAATGGACAAGTCATTTTATATGGTTTGTTATTCATGAAATATGTGTCGATTTTGGCTTGTTTACTGTTATTAGACTATGTCTAACCTCTGAACAGGCTAATGTGCATTAATGAGGAGGATGGACTATCGTTTAGACTCCTACAAGAGACAACCGGGGAGCGGCATCTTCAGGTGCTTTGGGACCTGAAGGATGTTGAAGATATCACCAAGCTTGTGGATCTTCTGGAAGAGAGCAGTTTATGGCCGGTTTACCAGCTGCGAGCTACAGCGCTCGTTAAAGATCGTGTGGAGACTCAGTTGGCCCAACTAATGGGTTCTGAGGAAGAGATAGTCTGGATCACTGACCAAGAATCGTTCAATATTGGGTCCCAAGAGCTTCATGTTGCAACCAAGCTTCGAACATTAGAAAGGGCGTTGTTGGAGAAGGCCGTCGAGGTGCTTGAGGTACAGGTATTTCTACCCCCAAAGTCTATGTACCCATTCCCCCGCTCAATCATCCCCACACATACCTAAGCCGCTAATATATTGATGAGCGGAACAGAAAGAGAAATTGCTAGGCTCAGAGGTGGTACAGAACTATCTGATGCAGGCCCAGGGTAGCTCCGAAATCTCCGGTGATGATCCTGAAGCCCCCAGCGATGAAGATGACCTTTCATGAGGGATTACCGTAGGGCACGATGAGAGGTATCGCGACCACATACCGGTGGATATGTAAGGCTTTTCTGTTAAGTATTGTAAGGATCACGGAGTGGACATTTCAGCACCGCCGTTATGATGCCCGGCGATATGCACATTGGTCCTAACGGATGCAAGATATCATCGCTCACAAAGGCTGTCGGTCAGCAGTGATGTAAGTCGTGTTATTGGATAGGGCAGAGACCGGGACGAGAATCCAAAATTATTGTTCATCCGAGGTTGATGAGCTTCACGTTTTTGCAAGGAACACTTCGATCGGAACTGTGATCTAGGCGATTTCCCCCCTCCTTCCGGGGTCGGCAAATCCCGTCCTCATCCCCAAGAAACGGCTGAAAAGAATAGTTTCACGGGCACATGTCTTAGCAATAGCCTAGGCAAGGTATCGTTAGAAACCAGACAAATGCCACCCCCGTCGATTTCTTATGGAGGATGCCTCCGAACGTCCCACATTTCCTTTTCAGTTCCTTTTTGATGGATTATCATTTCATTGCCACTCGACTCTTGGGCGCGCATAATAGGAAGGTTTTGTCAGGACAGAGACAGAAAGGGTCTTTCCGGTACTGGAGAGCAGCAAAGACTCTGAAAGTCACTCCCAGATTTCAGCGGAAATCAGCCCGTGAGCCTACGATAGGTTTAGTTTGGCAGATCACGGGAATTTCGGGTACCGGTTAATGGGATCTAACACATCCGGTATGCTAATCTTATCGTGTCAAAAAACCATTAATCTTTCCAGGAGATTTTGTCTCTGAATCCTCAGACTACTCATACGGAGTTGGCGGAAATAGTGGATCTCGGGTGTTTTTACAGTAAATTATCGCTTGGACGCTGAGACACTTCAGCCCAGTTTAAAGTGTTGAGTACCAGCCCATTTGAGTGATCGTGAGAGGAAAAGCTCTGTTGTTCGAAAGAGAGAGTGCTCGGAATCCCCCAAAACCAGCCCTGCTCAGTATAGCTATGATAGAAACGAGCAAGTCCGCGTATATTTACTCCCGATTACTCAAATAGGCTAGTGCTCAGCATATCAAGCTAAGCTGAAGTGTCTCAGTAGCGGAAGGGATACCTCAACTTCGTGATCTCTCAATTTCGGACTTCCAAGTATTCTATCCTTCCTCTTTGATCCTCTTGGATTCCTTGTGCTTTCAAAAGGCAATGGATCATGTCATATCTCTCGGGCCACACACCACGCACACTTTTTTTTCCTTTTTCTTCTCTTTCCTGGTCTCTTTCTACACGTTGCTTTTTTTCTAGCCTTTTTTTTATCTCATCTGGTCCAGTGTGTCCCGTCCTTGCTTGCTTGCTGGCAGGTACGGTAGGCAGCTGTGAGAAGCCGCTCTCTCTCTTTCTTTCTTTCTGACAGGCTGCTAGCACCCAATCACTGCTGGACATCAAGAAAACTCCGCTCCATCGTAAAATCAATCACCTTAAGCTACGAATACCGGTTCTATATACGAGAATGGAGAGGGTCTAAAAGGGGGGGAATACTTGGGCGGAATTTTTGAATGCTGAGCTCTGCCGAAACAGGAATTCCTCCAGGTACGGGTGCCAGGTTGCCACAATCAACCAAGTTTCCCCGCCTTCTTTCAACTAACTACCGTACCGGTATTATTTACTCGTACAGTCCACTGCCAGATAAGCAAGAGAGCTAAACGGCAATAGGCCCAGCTGAGCATGTTAACAAAATTTCGAACGCCAGTTAAAGAGAACCCCGAAGTTCAGCTTGCTCAAGCCATACCTCCTCATGCAAACCCTTTTTCCCTCCTAAGGTGTTTTGTCTCTGAATGCGGAGATTCGGTGCCGGACGGAGATAGTGGGTTATGGGTTTTTACCGAATGGTAGTCAAACGCCTTGGAGCAAGGCATTCTTTTTTTCCGTCCTTTTGCCTGTTGCCATGGACCAGGTGGATCCCTGTTTATCTGGACCGTTCAGTTCCCACTCCAGGGATGGCATGCTGATGCTGACTAGCAGCCAGAGCAAGCCCAGCAGCAGCACGGTACGGGCCCCGTCCTGTACTTAGCATCGGTGGCTACACATCGCATAATTGAGTAAGAGCCCGCGTTGATCACTGCTTGGGTATTCCCGGGTAGACGAAGGTAAAATAAGTGCTGCTATTACACGAGCCCAAAAATTCATCCTTCGCTCTCCAGGGGTCACCATTGCCCGCACTGGATGTTGTTTCTTTCTTTAGGATAGAAATTGGAATACTCGAGCACCGTAACGCCTCCACACCCTGGTTGACGCACATCCAACCAAGACCAGTACTCTTCCATTGGCCATTCTTGAGCTCCCTTCCTCTCTCTTTAGCTCCTCTCGTTCCCCAGCCAGTCCCGGATCCCCCCGGATTAGACCCATCGCTCGCCTCTCGCTCTGCATTTTACCAGGCCTCGAAGGGAGGACTCATTTCGATTAACTAGTTTCAAGAGGAGAGCGACCCTCCGACATCTTCGAAGGCGTCGAGTATCATACCATACTCCACCCGGGTTTGCCCTTGTATGCACAAGGGAGTCAGGGAGTGATAAAGACCAAGGAAGCGGTGGGCTGAGGAAGTCTCGCTCGCACACGCACATCCGCACACACATACACCATTCACACCACCCACCCACACTCACTCGACCACTACAACCCTATCGCCAAACCTGAACCATCAAGAAGAAGACGAAGAAGGCGACCATAGTAGTCAGCCTCGACTAATATGCCTGGAATACTGCCAATGAAACTTATCAAATGCGGCAGCAGCCAAACACGCATTGCCCAGGCTTGCGACCGCTGCCGCTCAAAGAAGATACGATGTGATGGGATACGACCATGCTGCTCACAATGCGCAAACGTGGGCTTTGAGTGCAAGACGTCCGACAAGTTGTCTCGAAGGGCGTTCCCGAGGGGATATACAGAGTCGTTGGAGGAGCGGGTACGATGCTTGGAGCAGGAGGTTCGTGAGATGAAGGATTTGCTGGATGCGAAGGATGAACAGCTGGATATGCTCTCCAGAATACACTCCTTTTCACCATACTCGCCCCCCGCGAGTGCTGTTTCCGGCGGTTCGCATAGAGCACACAAGTCTCCGGAAAGAGCGAGGAGCGATTCGGCGGATTTGGGACTCGGTGATACGTTTGTCATTCATGAAACCTCATCTCTAGTGGGGGGTAGCGAAGCAGATGGTAACGGTGTCTTTTACGTTGGCTCTTCTAGTGGAAGGCCGTTTTTAGGTATGTCTTTGCCTCTATATCTCGAGAAAGATTCTGCTTTCCCTCAAGCGCATCTCATGAAATTCACCTTCGCCTTACGAGGCGCTTGCCCTCGTAAGGCCCAACATGCCTCACCCCCCAGTGTGAAATCTTCATAAATAATTACTTGGCAAATTCCTCCTCATACAAAATACTTATTCGTGGTTTCAAGAGCTTCTTAAGAAGAAATGCGGGGCAGACTTCAATCCGGATATCCTTCTCGAGTGTCAGCAGTCGTTAAAACCATCAGAAATTGATTCATACGAGGACATAAAAACGCCCCCACGACTTTTGTCGGATCGCCTTTTGGTATCATATTTTCAAGAGTACCATCCCCTGTTTCCGGTTCTCCATAGACCGACATTTCTCACTTCCTACGAGAAATTGGTATCTGGAGATGGGTTCCAGGTGAACACGTTACCCCACCACTTAGTAGCCCAGTTATTTTTGGTATTTGCTATAGCACAGCAAAATGAGGTAAGGCCGTGGACGATTCTTGCTCCCCCAAAAAAGAAGGGATGTTCTGACATCAATCTTAGCCACGAAATGGACCTGATCAGCAATTCGATGCTCAATGGCAGAGATCTCTTAATGCCATTATTGTGGATAGCACCATTGAGACACTTCAGTGTCTTGTCCTTGCTCAGTTATACTGCTTTTCTAAGGGCGATTATTCCAGGCTTCTGCAGTACAAGAGTCTTGCTGTCGGAATTGCGTTGAGGTTAGGTTTAAATCAGAGCCAGAGGAAGTTCACCTTGGGAGCCCTCAGTGGTGAAATGAGAAAGAGGACGTTTTGGTGTGTTTATTGCTTGGACAGGTTGGTGTTTCTAGAATATTGCTCTTCATTCCCACATCCTACTTAACTTTTCCTGTATTGACCCGTGGATGGATGTAGCTTCTCCGCAGCAATGCTCGGGTTACCCAAACTCCTTAGGGATGGAGACATTGATACGGAGTATCCATCCGATATTGACGATGAGTATGTTTCCGAAAAGGGTTTCCTACCAACCCAACCAGGTGACTCCACAAAGATTTCTAGCGCACTAGCCCTATTCAGATCATCAAGGATTCTCTGTAAAGTTCTCGATGCGGTTTACCCTACATCGAGCGCTCACGAGGTGAGCTATACTAAGCTTAAGGAACTTGAGGACGAGCTTGGAACGTGGAAGATGGGACTAGCACCACATCTTAGACTTGAGTTCACGAATGGCACACCAGCTACTAATGTCGTTGACAGCCGATCACCACTGTTGGTATTTTCACCCCGCATGCCCACGAACGCCCGTGCACTGTCAAGCACCCTTATTAATTGACCTCAGCTAATCATTATTCTTCAGGTACTGGCCTATCATTACATTCGATCATTGATTCACAGGCCGATTATTGGCTCAACCCTAGATAGCAAAGTATCCGCATCTTTGCACATGATCCGGGAGTCCAGCAAATGCATCATTCAGATTATTCAATTGCTCACCGAACGGAAACTCGGATTTTCATTCTGCCTCAACAAGGCGCAATTACTCCTTATGTCCGGGTTCACCCTTTTGTACAGCACAGTAGACTGCCCGCAACACACGCCATTAGCGAAGGAGAACCAGAGGTTAATTGCCGGTGTCCTGGAGGAACTCGATAAATGTCACCCCTGCATGGCTAAAGAACTCAGGCCCATCACCGCTGCGGTCTTAAGAATCGAGCCACGGATAACTGCGACAAACGGAAACCAACACAAAAAACCAAAGGAGTACACACAATCACCCCCAACGCCGCCTTCGAGCAGTCCTACAGAGCAGGGGTCATTGAGGAGGAGATTTTCCTCGATCTCGGCAGAGTTTGGTTTACGCAGAGGCAAGAATGGGGATATCCGTCGCGCAAGTAGCCAGGATATGTCTAGTATGGGTGACCATGGCGGTGTTCGTCTGACCTCTGCGTCACTCACGGATCTATCACCTACGCCTCGAGTCCGGTATCCTGCAGCCGGCTATGTGGCAGCAGTCAAAATTCCTCAAACCCGCCAAAGCCTGATTCTGGATTCTCCATATCTCGATAGCCTCTTGGACATGGGACCCAATGACCTACATTCGAGCTCGCAGAACCCGTCCTCGGTATCGGCGTACGCTTGGGAGAGGGTACTGGCCGCAATGGACCCCACACACACAACACACATCTACGGAGGCGAGGACGGGGGCAGCGGCACCTTGATCCATCCCTCTGATCACCTATCTGCCGAAACAGGTACCCGGCCGGTGGATCAGCACTGGAGCCTGAGCGAAACTCCCACAACTGTGTCCTTCCGCGGCACCCCGCCGTCCATATCGCCGTTCTCCACGTTGTCGGAAGAGAGTTTTGCTGGCAGTGACGGCGTGCGGGCCGGTGCAGGAGGCCTGGACGTTGGCAGTGGCTACCCCGATAATGATAACCTGGGAGACTTTCTTGGACCTCTGATGGGCACGCGGAGTGGCGGCTCAGGCGGGACGTTATTGGAGAACGAATGGCACATGTGATGGATGTTTCCCCCCCCCCTCCTTTCTTCTCTTCGTTTTCCTCATTCCCTGTTCCATTTCTTGCTGCTTCCCTTTTCTTTCTTTTCTTTCTTTCTTTACTTTTATTATAGCCGTTTTTCTTTAAACCCTTCCTTATTTTTAAAACAATTCTCCCTCCTTTTCTTGCCGCATGATCTCATCTTTTTTCCTTTCCTTTTTACATTCCCCCACCCCTTCCATCCTCCCATCCTACTTCCTTAAGCAGCGCTGTTTCCCCCCCCCCCTCCCAGAAGAGAAGGAAGGAAGCGCTCTTTTGTCCATCATACTCTACGCAATCAAATCCGATCGAACGAGGGGCGGTAACCGCGAGCGGCTACTAACTGGTAAGGTAGGTACGGTAGCAAGAAACGTGAAGGTGAAACTGCGTTATGTATCGTTATGTTTATCTTTTTTATTTATTTATTTTTATTTATTTATTTATTTTATTTTACCTCTTTCTCATGTGTGCGTATTGTAGTAGCACTCGGTAGTTAGTTTTAGCAGTTTTCCCCAAGCTCTTTTCTTCCTTTTTTCTCCCCCCCCCATTTGCGCTGCTCGTGTTACATTTTCTCTTATTCTACCTACTTGTACACCGCACCCTTATCTCCACTTTCCAGAGCACTGCGGTGTACTTGAATCATGTTAATAGATAATTCTCTTGCCAAAAAAAAAATTATAAAAAAATGAAGCGCTACTTGTATTCCTTACACGAGCTTAACCGGGCTATCCACCAGCCCCTCATGAAAGAACGGAAGAAAGAAAGAAAGAACCACATGCAATCCCCCCCCCCACCCATCCACCAATCCAACCCATCCCTCAATCTTACTGTACTAGCACAGTACCACTACCTAACCCCCGCGCGGTACTTGATTGATTTCTCAAAGAGAAAAACAGCCCGCTCGGGTGAGGTGCAGTACTGTACGGTACGGTATTGTATCATATCGTACCATAGCTGGATGGTCCACGATGCAGGATCGAGTACGGAAGGGATGGGATGGGATGGGATGGGGTGGGAACTTGCCTGCCTGCCTGCCTGCCTGCCTACCAGCCCGCCCACCGGCTAAGTTGGGGTGTTTGGGCTAATTTATTTAAACTTGTGGGTATCCGCCCCGTGGGTACAGACTGTATTATACTAGTGCAGTTCTCGTATGGTCCGAGGCGTCCACGGTAGAGGTAGAGAGGGTACAGTATGGAGATACCGGTACCGTATGAAAGGGTAGGAGGGAGGGAAGGGAAGGGAGGAGAGGGGGGCGCTTGAGGGTATGGTATGGTACGATATCATGCCTCCCTTTTTTTGTTTAAAAAGAAAAAGAAAAAGAAAAGAAAAAACCCTTTACTTGCCTTGCTGTAAGACTGCTGCAAGTTGCTGTTATGGTACCGTGCCGGTATTCCCTGGTGGGTGATATTTTAAGATTGGGGTTTTCGCTAGGCATGGTATAGTTCGTCAAGTCGGGATGGTACCGCATCTATTTCGTTATTACCTCAGGGCACTTTTTTCTAATCAGGGTATGATACAGAACGGTACTTGTATGAGCGAATGAATGAATTAGGATATAGCAAGCGCTCGTTCCGCCTACCTAGGAAACTGCGGAACCCTCCACAAGTTTTGTAACCGTACGGGGCAAGGAAAGGATGTTGGAAGAGAGGGAAAGCTACCGGGAGGGTAGTGTGGGAATCTATTCTACAAAAAAGCAACGAAAGCTCGTAAGAGACGTGAAGAAAATAGCAGGAAAAAAAGAGTGCATGTTCTCACGATCTCCCGAAAACAGCATGGACTTGGACAGATCGGCTCCATAATTCGCAATCACGCAAGTTAATTGGGTTTTCCCAACAACTTATCGCCTAATCCTGCTTCACGCCCCTGCCCGTTCCCCAAAGCCTCCACTGTTTTTATCAAATCATAGTTAATGCCCTGGCTCACGGCACTGTCCTTCTTGTAATCCGGGTGATTGCGCACAAATTCCCTTATCCAAGTTGCGCCGGTCTGCAGTTCTCCACTCGCCCGTTTCGAGACCAAACTCAGATATCCGGCCAATTCGCACCGGGTAACAACATCAACGTTGACCGTGTTCAAGTAACTTTCTATCAGCGGAATCAGGCCAACAAACTCATCCTGCCGTCCATTCATGATCTCGTCGATGGTCATCAGTGTATACTCGTCCTCCACAGGCGGTGGCGTCCCCGGACATGATGGAGCGGGAGTCTGAGAGCCATTGGTGACTGGCTTGCGCGGTGGGAATAGGTTCTTGCGGAACCAGAATTTCTCCGTCAAGACTGCATCTCGGCGATGCGCTGTCGCCATATTCTCGTCAACCTACAATTGGATTGGCGCTCGGGATTAGCGATCGGATTGTGCGGCTTCCCGCCGCTTCTCAACAAGTATGGGGGCTCTCCACCTTCGATATCGGAATGTAGAAATTCAATCCATAGGAGAGAATCGCGCGAGTGAGCAGCACAATGAATATCGCAAAGGCAGCATTCTCGTGGTCAGTCACTTGAATTTCCATACTCCGGAACTCTACCCGCCACCCGATGCCCCCACCGGGTGGGGGAGGCTTGAAACGCATATGCTGCCAGTTTGTGGATTGGATGTTCTTCCAGGCCAACTGTTAGCCAAGGAATGCAGCCCATGAAGTGTGGGGGATGCACGCATACTAACCTCGAAATGATCTGCCTTGTCATCAGGGGACTCGTTCAGCGTCTCTTGGAAGATGACTAAGGGGTCCCGAATGAACAGATGAGCAAAGTGAGTTGCAAGGCGTTCATCCATGCCTAGACACCTGTGATGTAAGCTTCCACTGGAACCGACATTCACCTCACCCACATTCATACAGGGGGGGGGTCTCGAACCGTTACCCACAAGCCTCTGCTCGATATCTTTATCGATCACTAGATCCAGATCGTTGTATTCCGAACGCAGTGCAGGGTCCTGTGATATATAAGTCGACACAGAATCGTAGCGTGATTTTGGTATCACGTAGCGGCTATGCTTCTGGGGCTATTATCGAGTTAGCTGTGGATGGGGTTCTCCGGCAATCTCCTATTGGATAAATCCTGAGTAGGCTGACCTTCAAACCCTTCTCTTCCTCCGTACGATCATCAACTGCCCCAGAGATCACATTCCAACGCACGTCGACATCGGCCAGAAATCCCTTGAATATCGGAGACGCAGCAGTCAAGGCCAACATTACGGGCCCCAGAGGGCACAATTGGTCATACAACTGCCTAGCCTCGGTGATATTTTTGGCCTGGAACGTGATCTGTAAACAACAACATCCCATTCCGAAACCCATGGCATCCATGTAAATATGCCCCTCCTTCGCAGCCCCGTTTCTAACATCGTCGTCCTCGGGGTAGAGACGCCTATCGTAGTCTATAGTTGGGTCATTAAACGGGCGGGGAGTATTCTCATCATAGAAAACGGGCATATTGATGGCTACTTTCATGCCACGTCTAGACCTGATGTTGGCCGCAAGGGTCGGGAAGCGAATATGAGGATTAATTGCCTCATCAGGGATAAATTGACTCCTAGACTGAGACCCCGTGGACGGGTAGTACGGCTGCGTGAAGACCCCTTTAGTTCCCAGCATGGGGAAAGAGGTTAACGTTATGGGGGCCTCATTTTCGGCCATGTGCTCCTTGGCTATAGCCCTCCTGTGGGGAAGAAACAGCTCATCAATAATCCCCTCCCCTAATGAGCGACGACGAAGGCGCACCTGAGCTTCATATTCCCCTCAACGGCCAGCAAATCCTTCCATGTCAAACCGAATGGAGCCCCTGGCGTGGCTTCCAACATGAATCGCCCGAATTCGGGGTGGAAAGTGGGGAGCGGCTCGGAAATACTATAAAATCAATACTACCGCTCGTGCAACCCGGAGGGTCTAGACCCACTCTGCCGGCTCCTGGACATCTGGCACACCTCCTCCAGCCTTCCGTAGGTTCTCGTCCTTTGCCAATTCCGCGAGAATCTCGGCTTGTCTAAGGGAAAGGCAGGCGTTCTTGGTTTCCTCGTCATAGGCAACAACGAGATATTCGATCTAGCATCGTTAGACGTGCCGGCACAGTGTGATGCATGCAATGCACAACAAACCTCGTCACCCCATAGGAGAACATCCCTCTCATTCTTCCTATATTTGTTCCATATCTGAAGAAGTTGCTGTAGTGCACCTGTCAGCATACAGTAACCCGGCCGCCCACATGGACTCGGCTTAATGCCTTGATTCCCAGGTCCCGGACCTGGTCCGCATGTTTCCTCGCTTCATCCCAGGGGAGAGGCGTTCCAAGTGCTCTGCAAAACCCAGTAATTGGCCCCGTCAGCAAAGGATTCACACAATATCCTTTCCAAAAGGGAAATGCAGTAAGCTCAAGGAAGGGCGGGTAGTCTCCACTTTTGTCCTAAAACAAGGATCAAGCCATACTTACAAAAGACCCATTGCTTACGTATAACGGTGGGCGTGTTTATTCGGACTGCCCTCGAAGCAGACGGACAGGACAAACAAGAAGGAGCGTCTTTCCCTTTCCGTCTATTCTTTTCCTATCCCAGACTGGAGGGGGGGGCACCAGGGGGGGGAGGTGTCACGCTCTACTCTAAGTTAACGAAAAGCACGAAAAGGGGAACCCCAGAAGCCGGAGAGGTTATACGGGGGGGTGATTGATGAAAGACGAGGAAGATGGGTTTGAAATGCAACAATTCTGGCCAGGGATTAAATTCCTCCAACCTTTTTCTTTTTTTTTTTCCCCCCTATCCTCTAGCCTTTACGAGCAGTGACGAAAGGTCTTGCTTATCGATTGGAAGAGATAAGCCTTTCCTTGTCCAACGGTTGTCGCGGGAACGGGAGAGGGGGGGGGGGAAGGAAAGGTCCAGACCGTTTGGGAATAATGCCACCCTATTTCCTTTTTCCTTCTCTCCTGTGGTCCTGGATGCGGCAGGTCCCTCGAGTAAACTATTGAATGGAGGACCGTTTAAATCTAAAACCAACGAACCAAAAATTGCCAGAGAGCGATGTGTAGGAAGCCGACCGACACCGCTATCCGCAGTGGAGAGGGGATGTCTGAGAGAGAAAGCAAAGGGGGCCCTGGACGGGGGGGAGAAAAAGTGGAAGGATGCTGACAATGATGGTAGAATAGTTGATTACGATATTGAAGTTGATTACCAATTCATCTGTCCCAATAGTAAGATACGAACAAGATAGCAGGGTAGGAAACGGGACCTCGGCCGTTCTATGATACTCGAGATGTACTCCCGAGGTGGAAGGAAGGGAAAGAAAAGAAAGGAAGAAGAAAAAGTGACATGTTCCTTTTCTCCTCAATCCGGATCACCACATTCCAAGGTTCAGCAACAACTCGGAGAAGGAGAGGAAGAAGAAAAAGGGTTCCTCGAAAGATAGCCGCGCAGGTACCCTTGCTCCCCGGTACGATTCTCAACCAACCTGGCCGAGGGAATAAAGCCATCCCATACGGTACCGGTCGCCGCGTGGTTGTGAAGATGTGAATCACGGGAGGGTACAGATCTAATATCACAAAACATCATCCCACACACCACCTTCCATCGTATCGTATCATATCAACCACCACTCACTGGCCACCGTGCCTCCCATCATGCCAAAATGTGTACCGCAGGAGATGGGGAAAAGCAAAATACTTGTACATTACACATCATTCCCAACACAGCGTACCGTATCGTACCCGTACGAATGGGCAAGAACCACCTAAAACCGGCCGGCCGAACCACCCATTGCCCCGCCGGATACACGATGATGCTATCACAAATTTTTACGCCCCGCCATCGCCATGATCACCATGACCAGCCCCTCCCTCCTCCCTCCCTCCTCCACCTCCTCCCCCCCCCCCCTTCGCATTTCCCCCTCCCTCCGTCCAACAATGAAAAGGACAAAAAAAAAAAAACACAATGTATCATACCCCCCCTTCCCCGCCATCACACACACCACCGTCATCATCACCACACTTCACTTATGATACACTGCCGTACTGTACCGTACTGTACCTTACCCCCTCCACGGCGCTCGCAGCAAAGCAAAGCACGCAAAAAGCCCCCTCTCCCCCTAAAAAAACAAAATCCCACACACTTACCCAACTTACCTACCCACCATGCTGTGCTCGCCCTAAGCGATACCCACGTATGATGCCTATCCGTGCACACTGAACCCTACGGTGGAGAAAGAGAGAGAGGGAGACGCCCCCCATTTTGCCTCTCACTTCAAAACAACCCTTCCTTATCTTGGCGGAGGGACGGATAGATGGGTGGACAATCCGCCACTTGATGTGTTGCCACCGAGTGAGTTATCCCTGCGACATGATACTTATCGCCGTGCTTACCCGAGATTATTATTGCCACTATTACTTTAATTTCTAATTCTCTCTCTCTCTGCCCTCTCTTGACGGAGTGCTGAACAAAGTTGTTCTTTCCGGTTACGGTTCCGGTGTTTGGGTCGAATTGAATCGGATTGGAACCCCTCTTTGTGAAAGGGATAGATTGTGGTTGTGGAAGGGGAGGGGGAAAAAAGCCCTCCAAACGAGGAAATGGCACCTCCCCAGCTTTGCCCTGCGCCTGTTGTGGTAAACCCTAGCTATAACTATAAGGAGCACAGTAATATTGGCAGTCAACCGTAGGCTGAGTGCTGTATCATGCTTGTACCTGTATGATACGGTACCATTAGCGCAACCGAGATAAAATTCGGACACTTTGTACTTGTATCGAAATTACCACCCTGTGTCCGCCCTCAACCCGGTCGCGAGAAGTATGAGGGGAACCACACCCTTGGGGCTACCTCCCTCCTCCCACCAACGAGAGGATTCACTCAATCGATTGATTGACTGATCGATTGACCGAACCCGTCAAGGCACCTTACAGCTAGGTACTGTACATGGGGTGCAGTTAGTGTCTATCATACCACCGAGTTCAAACGCATCGCCCCAAGTACCGAACGCACTCACCAACAGACAGCAAGAGCCTTACCATATCATACCCACCGCACTCCCTCCCTCCCTTCAACGAGTACTGTGCGGTGGAGTAGAGCACAGATAAGGACATGGGGGAAAGTTCCGACCATCACAGGTGAACCCAGTCACTCCAACACCCGTCCGTACATGTATGACACTATACTGCACTCGAGCGCACTCCACCCACATTCCTCGAGCAGCAAAGCACGATCATTGACAACGGATACAAGTACTGTACAGTACAGTACCAACCTGAACCACCGCAAAAATTGAACAAGAATAAACGACAAATACCGACACACACACACACACACACACACACACACACACACATACACGCATCCCTCCTCCTCCTCCTCCTCCCCTCCTGGTGCCCCACGTATTTATCGCATTGTATACTCTTGAGAAACTCGCGCGGTAATCACACACTTTGTATGATACTTGTACTACCACCATGATACAGCCTTACCATCATCCAAGCCATCCAGATATGCTGCAGATTGAGGAAACGCCATATCCCCCCCCCCACTTCCCCCTGCCCCTTCCCTTATCATACAATAAATAAATAAATAAATAAATAATGTCCCAGCAAGATAGATTAGATAGAACCCCATCCCAGCACCCGCGATTCGCGAATGTAATAAAAATATACATTGGGGGTCTAGATTGTGAGTCCTTTTTACTTCCCCATTCTAGGATATATGATAATTGGGACAAGTACCTGTATGATACCAGCATCATACAAGGTGCAGTACAGTACAGTACAGCTAGACAATCACAAACTAGGACAAGCAACCAGAAAAGAAAGAAAGAAAGAAAGAACCCAACAACAATGCCTAATAACGCCGGCCATAGCACAGCACAGCACAGCGGAAAGCCGTATACTTATCACAGAACTGCACATCAACGATACCCCATACAGGTATCATACCAAAATACACCAAAGGGCACAATTGCAACGAGTACAGTACAGTACTCGAGTACTGCACTGTAAAACCCACACACACATACTCTAAAAAAAAAAAAAAAAAGAAAGTTTCAACCGCAAAACCAAGTTTACAAAAACTTCATGCTCATGCCAGCACTCACTACCCATCCATCGAATTAGTCATTCAACAACATCCCAACCAAACCAAACCGAAACGACGAAAACGATCCCACTCCAGACTAACCCAATATACTTTTATCATATCATACCCCCGCCGCCATCACTCGCGCTCGCACTCATAGCAGTCTACCGGCACAGTACTCGTACCGGTACGTTACCCAGTCCATCAGTGATTTCTAATAGTCTAGTCTAAAGGTTACCGCAACCGCAACAAACTTATACCGCTTTGTCATCGCCCGTCGTCCAGACCGGTTTTCTTTCCAATCCATCTAATCCATCTACGGTAACTTGATTACCACCCACCGTTACCGGTACCGGTACCGTTACCGTTATTTGTCTCGTGTCGTCTCGTTTAAATGTATTCTAGCCGAGGTTTGTATCATACTATACGGTACTGTACTGTACTGTACGGCACTCAAGAGGGAGAGAAAATCAACGACTTGAACTTAAACTTGCGGTAACGGTTCGGTTCGGTTCGGTTCGGTTCGGTACGGTACGATTGCGATACGATACGATTTCGATACGATACGATGTGTATCGTATCGTGTCATATTTATATGGTACGGTAGATGGGGGTGGGGTGGGGTGGGGTGGGGTTCATTTCATACCTTACCTTACTTTTACCTTACCTAACCTACGGTATCTGTGAAAACTCTAATTCTAACTTTATCTGTGATGCTTTTATATCGTGCTCTAGATTCTGCCTGACTGTAGTGTACCATGTTGTATCGTATCGTATCGTGTCGTATAACTTAGGGGGCTGACCGCACTTATCAAGACTCGCCCGGGTCGGTAACGTTGGTGCAGTGTCACGCTGTGGATTGATAATCAAGATAAACCTCGTTCGTCCGTTGCAGATCCGTATACTATTTTTTGAATTTTTATTTATTTTTGGGAAGGGGGGAAAAAAAAAAGAAAAAAAAAAAGGGAAAGAAAAGAAAGAAAGAAAAGTACTCGTAAAAGATAAAGGGTTTCTTCCCCTCTTCTTCTAAAAAAACATTAAACCGGTCATCGTATGATACCAGACTTTCTTCTTTCTTTTACTCCATTCATTCGTTCATTCATTCATTCGCCGCAGGAAGGTGGTATCATAAAACCTATGATACGCCATGCTCCCAATGCAAGAGACAACCAAAGGGAAAAAAATGAAAGAGGAAATGCCGACATCGACAAGTTAGACAAACACACACAAACACACAGATACACACATGGACAAGCCGATGAAAGCGATATATATATGATGGATATGACGTTATGATGTGGTGGTTAAATGACAATTGAAGAGGGGAAGATGAAAAAAGTTTGAACCGGTAAGTAACAGAAGGATATAATATAGAATGAATGAGAAGCAGGGGGGATATATATATACACTGGGAGTTATGGCAAGTAGGAGTGAAATGAGAAAAAAAGAAGAAAAAAAGATCAAGTTTCCCCTTTAGAGATAAACAAGAATGGTAATGGTAAGAGGTTCCGGATCTCTCTCGCTCGCCGACGAGAACCCAAACCAAACGTGAAGGGAACGGAAGTTATGAAAAAGAAGAAAAATATGTAAAGATGGCATACAGCCCTTTTGCAAGGGAAAAGAAAAGGAGAGGGAAAAGGAAAGGAGAAAGGAAGAAAGGAAATCAATCGCACAGGTGAAGAATCGCAAAATACGCTACCAAGAATTCATGATCATGAAGAATAACGCCCCCAGAACCCCGGATTGATGGAGAAAACGATAACGAAAACGAGACAAAAGAAAAAAAGAAAAAAAGAAAAATCGAAACATAACCCAGCCTAGCCAGAGGAGATAGTGAGATCGATAACGTAGCAACGTCCCCCCCAACCCCCTTCCTTCGTCCCTCCTCCTCCTCCTCCCCCGCCCATAAGCCCGACCTCCTTTTCGTTGTAGATGCAAGAATAACTCAAAACTGAAACCGTGGAAACTATACACGAAACTCGTTCGCTATGGGAGTGGTGAGTTCGCTGCTTTTCTTCCTCCGGCCAACGGTCCTCCTCCAGCGCTTCCCATGGAGTTTTTGCTCAGTTTCCGCGTAAGCTTAGCGTAGTCTATAGGAAGAAGCAAAAAAAGTCAGATATTTCCGCCCCTGCATCAGGAACCCCACCACCCCCCACCACCACAACCAAGAATCACATACGCAAACCACAGGCATTGCACAAAGTCCTCGCGCCATCCGGCCCCCGTCTCCATTCGGGTGTCTCAGCCCTTTGACAACTATGACATCGTCCGGGCGGTGCAGCGCGCTAGAATAAATTAGACATTAGGCAAATAATCAGGGAATTCTATGGCCACACTCACGCCTCTGCGCATCTTCTTCGTATCGGGCTGCTGCGATCCATTCGATCGGGTATCGTCTGCATATCCGTGGCTGTCGTCGCCTCCGTACTCTGATATATGGCTCGAATTCATTTTCTGAGCACTCTGCTCTGCATACTCTTTAGCCGATAGCTCCTGGAATGCGTGTCGGCAACTCTGCAACGCTTCTGTGATCCGCACCGAGTATTGCAATGCTTCATCAAAGTAGCGTATCGAAGATTCAAAATTCGTTGGATGCGCCTGTCCCCCCTGTAGGATATCCTGGCACTGCCCCATTATATGATATATTCGTGAAGAATGATCCCTAGTCTATACATCGCTCATTAGTTCACGCCCCTCGCTCACACTCAAATGTCAAATTTTAAGGCTTACCGAATCAAGATCTTGGCGGATGGTTGATATCGACAACGCCCTTTCTATCACGCTTCCGTATCCACTATTGCGCTTAAGTCCACCCTTGGAGCCCGGCGAGGTTTGTGGTGGCGGAATGCTCTCGTGGCTTTGATAACTCGGATTTCGGGGGGGATAGGAATAGGAAGGCTGGGCCGTCGAAGGCTGCGGCGGGTAGGAGGGCTGCGAAGGTGGTGGTGCGGAAGACGTGTGGGGAGGGAACGGATACTGACTCGACTGGCTACCGCTGTGATAGGATGGAGTAGGGGGATATTGCGGAGGGGAATTGTGGTGGGGTGGCGGGGGTGGTGGGTAGGAATGAGATTGGTAGTCCGAACCGGGTGGCGGCGGGTAGGATTCGGGTGGCCGGATTGCCGGAATGGCCGGAGGAGGGGGCTGCGTTTGGCTATATGGATTGGGCCCAAGGGTCCTTGTACTCGCATGTTCTTGACTCGGTCTCCTATCGTAAGCCTCATGGTGGTGAATTGGCGCTGGTGGCCCGGAACTATGGGAAACCGGAGCCGGAGGTGGAGGTGGGGCTGATGGAGCATATGTCTGAGGCCCCGAAGAGGGTGGGGGAGGTTGGACACTCGGTAGCGATTCCGAGGGCTGACTTCGTGGCATTGGTGGAGGGTGCGGTGCGGAAGCACCGGAAAAGGAACCCTGGCTGAGAGGGGGGGTCTGCATGGGCGAAGGCGCCGCAAATGGCTTATCCAGTCTGTCAAGCAGCGCTTCCTGTAACGAGGGCAAAGATTGCCTTCCCCCATCTTCATTTCCCGAAGTCCGTCGGGACTCCGGCGGTGAGATGTACCCATTCGTGCTGACGGCCGAGGACGATGACGGGAATGAAAGTGGTGGGGCCGGGGGTGCAAGCAATGTTGTGGGACTGATTGGTGAGGCTGTTGAAATACTCGCACGAGCAATAGATGGATGCCGCTGATGGAATTGAGCCGCCTCTCTCGCCGATCTCTCGAATTCCATATAGCTCATCGATGGCAGAGTGTCGCTGCAAGAATTAAAGTTAGATCTCATCTTATCGCTCGCGGCAACGGCTGTAAGGAACAAAAAAGGAAAAAAAGCTGCACTTCACGCATACCTCTGCCTTCTATTGTCCGATGACTCCATGCCTGCGGCGGGAGACAAAGGAGGTGACAACAAGATCGCGGAGGGAGTTATGGTGAAAGATTGAAGATTAAATCCGCTACGGGAATTGGAGTCGAATGCCGCCGCGAACCCCTGGCCGGTTGCAAAACTTTCAGACGAGCACCTCAGCCCTAAAAGTGTAGCTCAAAGGCTATCGGCAGACGAAATGATGCAATCTATAAACTCGTGAATTAGACTCCAGCACTAGGAAAAGAGACCCGCTACAAATCCAGTCGGAACAACTGGATCTTATTTTATTCTCCCTCCTCAACTCCCGCTGGTCACAGAAAGAGAGTGGTGGAGTCCATCCAACACGACAGCGACACAATACGGACGAGGGCCGGGTTGGCTGAACAAGCTCACCTGCGACAGACAGAAGACGAAACGGAGTGCGAGATAGATGGAAGGATAAAAAAGGGCGATACTGGGGGGAGGGGCGGACGATTACTGTAACCCCGAAAACTCACTCGAACCTATGCACTCCAAGAAAAAGGACAACTGACGATCATATGAATATGATAACCAGACAGTGTTGTTGTTTTTTCCTCGCGTGGCTTTGCGGTTGTAATAGTAGGTGGTGGTGGTGGTGGTGGTGGTGGTGGGTTGAATCTCGCAACTAAGAGGGAGCGGATCGATCTGGCAGACACCGGTCTTCAAGGTTCTCAGAAGCTGGAAGTGAGTGACTGATGAACTTTTTTTTTTCTTTTCCTTTTCTTTCCTCTTTCTCTCTCTCTCTCTCTCCCTCTCTTCGGTCTTCCCACTCAGTTACTTGTAGCTAAGGCGAAAGAGAGGCGAATGGGCCAACAGGCTGGCGAATATAGACAACCGGGAACGGAAGGCTGGCAGGCAGACGAGGGGAAAAGTAGCTGACACCAGGAAGCGAACAGCAGGAGTAGCAGCAGGCAAAGCAACAAAGGTGGCAGCAGCAGTGGTAGATGGATGGTGGAGAACAATGAATGGAAGCGGATGGGCTGGGATTATTAGATCGAGATGACGGCGAGTTTCTTGGTTGCCGTTAATGGTCACTGGTGTGCACACAATAAAACCATCAGATGAGGAGCCTGCGGCTGCTGGATATTATGACCCCGACTCCAGCAGCGAGAAGCAGCAGATTGAGAACTAACGGGGGGGTTGAGAGAAGATGGAGGGAGGAAGGGGGGGGGGGTAGTGAATAGCAAAGTAGCTAATGCAAGGTGGGCACAGGGCAAGGGAGAGGGACAGATAGAAAGGAAAGCGAAGAGGAGGAAGAGAAAAAGGTGAGTGAGAGAAAGTGCGTGAGTTAGTGCGTGAGTGAGTGAGTGAGCGAGTGAGCGAGAGTCCCAGAAGAGGTGAAGAATGGAACCAAAAGCAGACGCAGGCAAAGCAGCGGTAGAAAGCAGAGCAAAGCGAGCACAAGAAGAAGCACAAGAAGCACCACCTTCTTACTTTTTTCCTTCCCTTTTTTCCCACCTCGAGAAGCAGCAGCCACAGTAGCAGGGGGACGTATGATACCAAGAAAAGAGGAAGAAGGGAAGAGGGAAAAAAATGGGTGGGACGAGTGAGGGTGCGAGGGAGTGACGAACGAACACAGGCAGACAGATCTTCAGATCGATACACACTGGGCCCACCCCAGAAGAAGAATGGAGAGAAAAAGGAAAAGGGAAGAAAAATGGCAGGAAAAAGCAACAATTTACCAATGGAAAAAAGAAAGGAGATTTAAAATAGAGAAAAAGAGAAAATACTCGTGGAGGGGAAAAAAAGAAAAAAAAAGAAAGGAAAAATGGTCCTTCCTGCCAGAAAATAATAATAATAAGATAAAACGGACGACCCGGACGGAGCCCACTTTACTCGCAAGAGACTGGAATGCGAAGGGAAAGAAAAGAAAAGAAAAGGGAAAGAAGAAAAAAGCAATAGATTGAGAGGGAGACGGAGATAGAGAGAGAGGGAGGGAGGAGGGAAAGGGTGAGGGAGAGGGAGAGAGAGCCAGTCACCACGAGAGAGACAAGACGAGACAAGACAGAACAAGAACAGGCCGAACACTGGGCTACCGTTACGATTGAAGCCCACAATATCATAATCCCACGGTACTACAGTACTGTACTGATGACAACTTACTCCTACAGAGATGGTACGGGTTGCGGTACAAGTACATGGCTACGATACAACATCTCTCGTCTATCATGGCCATGGCATACAGTGGGCCAAAAAAGAAAGGAAAGGAAAGGAACAGGCCAGGGAACAAGGTACTGGAGAGGAAAACGATGGACGGGATCAAACGGGTTTACATCGACGATTGCCTTTGCTATTCATCAGCCAGTCCCTGTCGGGCCAATTCTTACAGTGCTGTACCGGTAGGCAAAAAAGAAAAGCATCTGGGTATGTATGTGGTGTTGCGTGTGGATGGGTGGAAAGGATGGTGTTAGGCGTGTGTGAGCCTGTGAGTGCACAGTACGAGTAGACTAAGTTACTCCACAGCCAGGCGCAGTGGAAAGTGTGGTGTGTGTGAGCGAGTACAGTATGTTAGGGAAGGAGGGAGGGGGGGTGGTGAGAGGTTGTCTGTGTGTGTGGTGGTGCGGTGTACTCGAGTATGGGAGTATGGGGGTATGGGTTGTCCGTGTCGGTCTGTGTGCCAGGCCCGGTAACTACTCTAATTCCTGTTGCGCCGATCTCACGCAAAGAGACTAAAGAGCTTCACGAAATATGGCGGAAAGGATTGGCAGGACCGACCAGGATGTAAGCAGCTACGGGACCGTATCGACGGATCATGGGGTTCTTCTCTCGGGCCTCGCAGCATGCAGACCACATTCCAGCCACCCTCGCTGCTCGAATCGAGCTTCATAAAAATAAATCAAACGTGCAAAAGATTACACTACTTGTACATTGAGACAGAGAAAGGGTGCCGGTAGACTACGAAGATAAACATCGAAATGGGCATATTAGGAGGGAATAAAATAAAATCATATAAATCGAACGGGATTGGACCATCCTCTTCCTCACTGCCAGCCCCCCCCTCTACACTCACGTACAATTCCTCTCTCCCTCTATCATCCATTCCCCCTCCAACCCGAGTTAGTTAAGATGGGTTCCCATATACCGCACTCCATCATCACCAGCAGCAGCATCATCCACACCCCCCCCCCCCTCCCCCAGAGGTATATTAGCGAGGAAAAATAAAGGAAAAGAACCTGACCAGTGCGCAGCAACAGAAGCAGGAGTTACCAGCAGCGGTATGATACGCGCGCCACGACGGCGGCCAGATAAAATGCGGTTGCGGATGGAGTGATGGATAAGATGGGGGAGGGGGGGGGCAGGCTGGAGAGAGAGGAAAAAGGAAGAAGAGAAAAAGAAAAGAGAAAAGAGACAGAAAGAATAGAAAGAGACACCGAACGAACTTGGGTAACGCGCCAGCGGACTCAGCCAATTGCCTTCGATCGTGGAGGGAATCGCAGCAGAGACAGGACAAAGACGACCCGTCGGGAATGGACCAAAAGTAGATGCGCATATGCAATCCCTTCCGAGTCCCCATCCAAATTGGACCCCAACTTACCATTCAGCTGGATCTCAAGTGTGTCAAATTGTGAGACAAGCAGCGCGGACGAGAAGAAAAGAAAAAAAAAGGGCTGTACTAGTTAGTACTTGTGATACAGATTGGAGGGGCACTGCCATGCGCAGTGACTGGAATACCGGAAATCTCTGGAAGTGAGAGACAAGAAAGAGGGCTGGATCTGGTCCACTTTCTTATTTCCTCTCATTTTCTTTATCGGAGTGGAATGAGGAGAACCTTTACCGTACCAATCCTATATCAGTTTATATAAATATAAACACAAGTATAATTTTTGTTATCGTTCCCTCATCCGAACTTACCCCAAGTCCGACATCTCCTTCTGTTGTTGTTTTTGTTCCTTTCCGTGTTGTTGTGGTTGTCGACCTCCCTGATCTGATCTCCATGTGGCATCAGGTAAGCCTTCCCATATGGCAAGCACTTTTTAATAATAATGTGCCCCTCAGCGGCAATGGAAGTGACAGTCGGTAACATTTAAGCTGGGGTGGATGTTTTGGGACGACAACTAACAACAAGACAACTGAGATTTCCGCTTTTCCCAGTTCGGGGACGGAACACTGTAACCTACCGTAACTCCTCCCCAATCTATCTACAGTACCGTACTCGAGTACTCGTACATGTATTGTGAAAATTGGTTACAAGTACAAGCAACCGCAAGGGAGAAGGAAAAGAAAAGAAAAAAAGGATTTCGGCAAATCTGCGATGTACGAGTACTGTACGAGTACAAAAAAACAATTTCCGGAAAGAGAAAGAAAAAAAAGAATTGGCCAGAAAGGAAGAATTTGGTATGGTATCCCCCCCCAGAAAATGTCCAAACGTGCAGAAACATCTTTCGATATTATTCTCTCCGCGATGGAGGAAGAAGGAAGCGTACCTCCAGCTTTCCGTCCATCGTTGTTCGACCCAGACCAGACCAGACACGGATGAACCGACCGGTACAAGTCCAGATCTCGAGTTTCCCTTTCTATCGAAGCTTCTATCACATCTGGCCACGCGAAACCCAGGAAATTGGTGAGCCATTCTTGTTGTCAATGCGCTTTTTCGGGGAAGGGGGTGGGTGAGCGAGTGAGTGAGTGAGTGAGACAAGGAGAGAGAGGGGGGAGGAGGAGGGGATACGGTAGAACAGCATGGCGATACCCGACGGGGTAAGAAGGAAGGAAGGAAGGAGGGAGAAAAAGAAAAAGAAAAAGCAATTTCTGAACCACTTTCTTTTTTTCTTTCTTTTTCTTTCCTGAAAATGGGATCCTGTCTTGTCAACTCTCATTCTGTTGGAAAAGCCCAATGATCGCACACAGTAGGGAGGGAAGGAAAAGAAAGAAAAGAAAAGAAAAGAAAAAAGTATACGGTGTGGCGATTTAGACAAGAGTTATGATAGTTACTGGTACTTGTACTCAGAGTTTGTGAACATCTTTAACCTTTTTCTTTTCTTTTCTCTTCCCAGACTTATCGCGAAGGGCTGAAATTGTGAGATTTACGGTTTTCGATACGACTGTCACTTTGTACCACTGGTCCCGATAACACCTCTCTCTCCGCGCGCACACACACAAAAACACGAAGAGCGCCCGTTTTGCTTCGTTCACTCATTCATTCATTCATTCTATTTAAATAGAGTACCAGCAGCATTCCATCCAACCTTTCATCTCCGCTCACTCTCGCACAACTTTCCCAGCTTCAGCTATACAAGTATACACTCGCACAATTCGGGGTTCACCAGATTATTATTATTATTATTATTATCATCATCATACCGCGGATGGCAGCTACCGTACCGTGGTGCGTAGTAGGGGGAGAGGGGGAAAAAAGAAAAAAAAAGGGCGTACGAGTACAGTACGGTACGGTACTGTATCACCACCCATCTCTACACTACAGTACAAGTATTTCTATTCTAATTTATTTATTTATTTCATTCGACGAAATGTTACTCGAGTATTTATCTATCCATTCATTGGTAGGCAATTGATTTGAGCCAAAGCCGTGGTGTGTATGTACGAGTATCACACTGTACGAGTAGCTCAACCGACCAACCCACCCTACAAGCAGAACTACCCACGAATCTGTTGGCGGTGATCTTCCGTCGCTAAATAAGTTATTCGAAATCGCCCAGCGAAACAGGCTACGATATCATGCCATGCCATGCCATGCAGGCGTTAGCGTTAGATAGATAGATATCATAGATGGATGGATGGATGGATGGATGGATGGAAAAAAGGAAAATGATGGGCATTTGTGGGAATATCGCTCACATCAGATCTTGTACGAGAGTGAAAAAGTACTCGTACTCGATGCACTGTAAGTACTTGCACCGTACCGTACCGTACGGAAATACCCTTGTGGAATGAATGAATGAGTACGGTGCGGTACGGTATTGTAAATGTAAATGAATTTGCAGAGCCACACACATACGCACGCACACACGCACACACACACATATATAACAACAGGTGAAGGGAACGCGGGCCAACTATATTATTATCATTATCATTGTCATTATCATTATATACGCACTGAGGAATGGATCCACGCTTTTGATTGATGGCTGTGCTAGTGCTGTACGATATGAGTTATCGCACGGATGGATGGGCGATAAAGTGCGGTATGTATGTAGGTTATTCTATTTTTTAACATTCAACCTAATAATTACTTTTTTTTCTTTTTTCTTTCTTCTTCTTTTCCCCCTACCCCCCCCCCCCCCTTCCCTCTCCACCATCCCTCAAGACGATGGTTGACTGGATGTGGTGGAAAACGCTTGAATCTCCCACATCAACCCATGTCAGAGCAAAAGCCAGGCCACAGCAAACGAGAGGAACAAGAAAGACACGACCGAAAATGATCAAGTTAGGGTTGCCATGCCGTAAAACGAGAACACATCGTAAGGAAGAAGAAGAAGCAGAAGAAGCAGAAGAAGGAAATAAATGAAAGAAGGAAGAATGGCAAACAGCCGCACGGAACATCCCATCGCGCCTCGCTCGCGAATACTTTCCTCGCTAAAGCACTCTTCGCAAATCAAAAGGCGCCAAACTTCCATCCCGATCCCCCACCAGATCCGAGATTTCAGATAACCGGCAAGACAGCCTCTGTCCCTTCGCACGCCTTGCCAGCCATGCTGGGCCCGCCAGCCACTCCCATTGGGCGGGATTATCCCTGGGGAAGGGCTGCAACGCTGTTGGACGCTGGGGAAGCCCCTGACGAGTTAATATTTATACTTGTACTCATCCCCTTACCCTCCCCCTCTCCCTTGTTCCCCCTTCTCCGCCCCTTCTCCGCCCGTTGCTGCGCTTCAATAGTAGACCGCCCGTACCATACCACGCGGAATCCCTCCTCCCTCCCTCCAATTACTTTATACCCCTCCCTCCCCCTTATTTTCTTTTCTTTTCCCTCTCCCGCTGCTTCATCCTCCTTCGGAGTTACGACTCCACTCTTTTGCACTCCTTCTCCCCCCCATCAACCAACGAATCGCCGCCGTGTTCCCTTGGCAGTAGAGGCGGTGATCGTGGCGGGGGTGTGCGTGTGGGGTTGTGGAAGGAAAGGAGGGAGGGATGGAGGGTGGAGGCGAAATTGTATGGGAGGAGAGGGGAGACGTGCGTATCCTACTCACAGGCGAGAAAATCTAAGCATTTGATCTCAAATCTACATCTTGTCATGATATATTGGAAAAAAGGAAAGAAGGAGGGAGTGATGGAATAACTTATCGCAGATGATCGACTGACCCCGATCAATTTAACTGTTACCGTTATTATTATTATTATTATTATTATTACTACTACTGCTATTACTATTGGCCAAAACTCCGAGGAATATAAATTACCAGGAACAGAAAGGAGGCAAGCAAGGAATAAGGAAGGAAGGAAGGAAGGAAAGGAAAAGGTAAGGAAGGGGTGAGTGGCAGGAGTGAAGTCAAGTGCAAGATTACGAAATGAGTAACAGAATGCACCTATTAGCACTATTACTGGTAGGAGAAATTGAGTTATAAATCCCCATCATCGTCATCAGCATTGGCATTATCATAGCATCCGACTGTGATGCCGGTAGCAGAAAAGGGGCCAGGAAAAACGACCATAGGGGATACATGAGAGCAAGAACGGAGTAGTCGAGACAACAGGTCAATACAGAGATTATGGGATCAGACCACACCGACATACATACATCCATACCTGCATATATTAATACATACACAATACATAGCTGCATACTCATACATACCTGCATACTCATACATACATACAGACAGACACACATAATCCAAACACATGACAGCTCTCATTTTATTTTATTTTTTTATTCCCCCCCCCCCTTCCTTCCCTTCTTTCTTTTCCTCTCGGCAAGCACCCGCAACCAAACGTTGCAGAAGAACTGGGAATCTGTAAACCCTGAAAGAAAAGGAAAGAAAAAAGAAAAGAAAGAAAATGAG